GTCGCCCTTTAAGAGCCCAGCGCACGGCCACCCGGCCCGAGCCAATGGGGCTCTCGCATCCTCCGTCCGTGACGTAACCCACAACAATGCCCCCCCCCGACCGCTGTAGGCGGGACTTCCGTCCAACCCGCAAATTCACAGGTCTCGCTACCTGCCACTCACGCTTAAGCCCGCACGGAGCGCCTCCCATCAGCCTCAGCGCACGTTCAGTGTGAGCATGCGCAGCTGTTGTGGGGATGTTGCCGGCTTCGCTTCCGGTTGGGATGAGGGCGGTGGGGCGCGCGGCCTTTCCAACTTCCGTCTTGCGCTCACATCCGGGTTGTCTCTCTGACGTAGAGGCGCCGTGGGAGCGGCGTGGTGACGTTCGGAGGCCGGGTGGTTCCTACGCCACGCCGTGCGGTGCCGCCTGATGTCCCGGTAGCGCTTGGTGCCTCATCCCGTGTACTTCTGCTGAGGCTGTCAAGTCCTTGTGCCAGCCACGGACCCGAGCGTGTAACAGATGAAATTTCCCGTAGTCATTCTTAAAAATCAGTCTTTTCAATAATAATAATAATAAAAGGCCAGTGTCTGGCGCTCCTTATGTCTAATACACTGAATCCGACATAAAGTTTTTGTTAGAAGGCTTTCATTGTAGATCTCAGAACTCCAAATAATTGTTATCCCGCATCATAAATGCACTCAAAAAGTACTCATCAATATCTTTAACTGTAGTATGGTATAAGTAATGAGGATTTATTCTTTCAGGTAAGTTAGTAGGAAACACGTCCCCAGATTTGCTTCCCAACCTGTGTTCTCAAGCACACAAAGTGTATTTGCTCACAGGAGTTGGCTGGATCCAGCCCGAAGCACTGACTCACATCACAAATGCTGAGGGTATATGGGGTTGTTGTTCAGGTATGCTTACAAGGTGGTATGACGCCTTGTAAGAGCAATTTTAATTCATCAGGAGATTATTGAATTTTAAGGAAATGCTCGAACGGGTAATGCAGGAAAGGGCCACGTTGTTTGGTGAGCTGCATCAGAATCTTCAACGTTGATGTATAATTAACTTCAAATAAGGCTGGGGTGGTTGGGCAAGGCAGCAATCCTGCAGCGTCCCACTGGTAAACTACTTCAGAAAGCATTTTGCAATATTAATGAAACCCGAAAGTCTGGTACACTTCTCCTACAAAGCAAGGCTGAGGTAGCTGGGGGTGTTCAGCCTGGAGAAGAGAAGGCTTCGGAGAGATCTCATTGTGGCCTCTCAGTACCTAAAGGAAACTAATAACGAGGGGAGATAATGACTTTTTACGGAGGCAGTGATAGGACAAGGGAAATGGTTTTAAACTGAAAGAAGGCTGATTTAGATTAGATATTAGGAGGACATTTTGTGCTCAGAGGGTGGTTAGGCACTGGAACTGCTGCCCAGAGAAACTGTATGCCCCATCCCTGGAGGCGCTCAAGGCCATGGGGGAGCCTGGGCTGCCTGAGCTGGTGGGTGACAACCAGCCCACAGCAGGGGTTGGAACTAGATGATCTGTAAGATCTCTTCCAACCCCAGACATTCTATGATTCACTGTTTCTATAATTCTTTTATTTTCATGATACCATTGTATTTACTAAATAACTAAATAAATACAATAATGTCTAGCCTTCCTTGATGTGAAGATCTTATGCTTTTGCCTAACCAAGTTACAAATATCTTTGTACTCTGGAAGACTATATGAGCTCAACAGCCCCACTCAGGAAACATCTTTGTAATTTTACAGCATCATATACAAGTACAGTTATAGTCCTCAGCAGTGCTGGCTGCTCACCTTTGCCTGCAACACGACCTCTAACTTGAGGTGGAACTTAGGAAAGGCCTACTCCAGTTCTAGCAACTTAATCGTGTGGAAGATGTGCCCAGCCCATGGCAGAGGAGGTTGGAAATAATCTTTAAAAGTCCCTTTCAACCAAACTATTCTATGATTCTAATTATAGGACTCACTTAGTAGATCAGGGTAGACCAGGAAAAAACATTTTAGAAATGAGTGTAAAATCTTACTGGACACCTTGGAAGTCTGTGAAAACAGGACTCTTCCAGCAGAGGGCAATGGCAGATTGGAGTGGGTGCTGCTAAAAAGGAATTGGTCAAGCGCAGTGGGAGCAGCAAGAGGCAGGGCTGGCCCAGGATGAAGTGGTGCAAGCCAGCAAACCCCAGTGCAGGCAGCCCTTCACATAATGTCTGCAGTTTTATGTTACAACTTGATCCCTGGTTTGCAAGTTGTTAAAAACAAAAAAGCAGTCTTCCCTCCTCTCCTGCTTCATGCATCCACATTCTAGCATAACAAGAAGACATCCTTTTTTCCAGTTACCACCACCACTACATGAATATGTGCCCCATCAAACATTGCAGTTCTCACTTTAAAACCAATCATTTAGATGTCCATGCTTGATTAATGATTTTCTCTTCAGAATTGCAGCAGTGCCTCTACAAGGATCAGATCTGTAGATTAGATTAAATTACTACTAAAATGACTATTTTTAATTCTTGGTGATTTTATTAGCTAGAAGAATGTACGCATGAGTGAAAATGTGGGTGACTCTGTGAAGGACCATACCTTCTGCTGAAGGGTGCTTGGTGACTTGAGGGGCTATAGTGGTCTGGAAAGATCTGTGATGTTAAAGATTTCTGTAGCACAAGATTTATGACTCACAGGAGGACAGCAATACAGGGAAGATGAAATGACAGAGCTGCGGATCTAGACTTGACAATGCTCTGGGTAAACTGTAAGATTGTGGTGTGCTGAGTGTAACCAACATTCTCTGTCCTCCTTCTTTACACACTGATCAGATTTAACAAAAGGACTAAAAGGAGCAAACTGTTTCTCTTGTCTCTGGAATTACTTTCATCCCATCTGCTTACTTAACCAGGGAAAGATTCATGGCTTTATTTGGCCATTGACTAGTGGCTGCCATAGGAGAAAAAGATTGCTTCCACAGCTCTTTCCAGTAAGAGTTTGCAGATAAATGATCTTATGCCCTGCAGCTTCAACTTTTTTTTTCGTGTTTCACCTATCAGACTCCAGTATTTGACAGTTTAATTGTCCTTTAATGTATCAGAAACCATACTGTGAAGATAATTCATCCTGAGTACGACAGGTCACATCTTAATGCTTGTGATTTGTTTGCTGCTCTTTTAGACACCTATGCTCTTGAGAAACGTACAATCTGATCTCTCATCTCTCTTTCCTGAAATGAGTACGCAGATAACTACATAGGAAAACATCTGATGGAGATACGGTGTCTGACACTCATCACTGTGAACACCAATGAACCAGAGGTGACACTGTGAACCAGAGATATACTGGGTGGACAGCCAGCAGAACTATACTCATGGCCACATGTTAGGCACCATGGGATAGCTCACCATGCAAGTCCCCCTGGGCTTTACTAGCTGTAAAACATGTCTTTACTCAGGATCCTTCTTATCTCTTTTTCTCTTGGTGGTGGTACAGCAGCACTGGCTCTGATTTGGTCTGTAAAATAAGGATGGCATTTAATTCTTTCCTTTTTCTATGATGTTTTCATGTCAACTTTTACTAATGATTTGTACAATCGGTATTTTCATGACTTGGGTTGTTGGGTTATTTTTATTTCTGGCCTTAAAGCTATTTCCAAAGCTCTCAAACACCAACTTCTGAAAAACCGTTTTTGAATTAATTTCTTTATTTACTTCTGAATAATCACAGTGTTAGATCTTTTACTTTATTCAGCTTAGCAGGTAAGGAAAAAAAATCTACAAAATAAAACACATCCTTTGTCATAAAATATTTTCAGTTCCTTAGTAGCGTACAAACATCATCCAAATACCTTCTGACGTTGTTTCCTCTGCCAAAACTCAACACTAAGGAAAGAAAGGGGAAAAGACTGGTGGCTTTGTTCTGGTGCTGGTGATAGTCATAGCATGCACTCAGCAGTCCCAGGAAATGAAAAGCTCGACCAGAGCCCATGTTACGTCTCCATACTAAATGAAAATTCTCTGTCTCCCACTGGCATGGTGTACATCACACTTTCCTGGAAAAATTGGACTTGGAGCATTTCAGAAATTCTGGGAGAAGCTGTGAAAAATGCAGCTTAACCCAGTACAAGTCTCAAACATGGCAAAAAAAAAAAAAAAAAAAAAAAAAAAGTGAAAAGACAGCAAATTGGGTTTTTATATGCTGTTTCTCTAGAAATAAAATGTGGATATTCATTCATTAACTAAAAATTAGACTTCAGCTTTTACAAAGACATAAGTGAGATCAGATTTTTTTTTTAATCTAGCTACAACAAGCAACTTTTTCTGTGGCACTTTTCCTCTCTACACTTTTCCTTTTATTGTTGCATTTTGTTTGTTTTGTTTTTAAGTGGCTGCATCAAAGCAGAAGCTGCCAAAATTGTTGTAAGTGTTTCATCTGATGATGCAATATCATTTCAGCCCTTTAACCATGAGCCTGTCATCATCTCCATACTCAGTTCCTGTAGTCTTCTGTCCTTGCCTGATGGACAAAGGCAGCATCTTTCTTGGCTTTTCATTTTTGTCATTTCTCACCACATTCAATCTCTCTATTTGCTTTTGCTTCTCTATCTTAAGTTTTAGATTCTCCCCATAGCCTGACCTACTGCTCCTTATGTTTGTATCTGACTATAGTTTTCCACATTACACTTTTGCTAGTAATAAGAGTTTAGAATACCTTCTTAAAGCAAACAAGACCTCATCAAACTGGTTCAGTTTCTGTGCAGACATGTTCATATGCAAGGGCTGTGTAGATATGAGAGATTTAAGATACATCTGATTTGACAATATTAGGAAGCATTCTTCTCATTCTGAAGGTCTGAAATTTGGAAACACTGCATCAAGCCAGACCAAAATCTTGGTCTAAAAAGGGATGTAGTTACACAATTGTAATTGTCTGCACAGTCACCACTTAAGCCATTTGTGAAGACACTACTGGGAGATGAGAGGGCAACACAGATATCTTTGTGGGCAGCATTCCTCAGGGAAGGTCATTCTGATCATTCTCACATTTGGCCAGACCATTTCCATCAGAGAGCTTCAATAGTTCAGCAGGAATCAAACCTTCAGTGGTATCACTATCACACAAGGTGCAGTAGTCGCTACTGCTGAATGACACACTTGCCACCTCCAAAGATTCCTGAAGCATAATACAGTCACTCTTTCCAGGCTGTAAGTGGGAGGGATAACTCCTTCCCCCACTAGAGCTCTCAAGGTTGGCTTTAATTTTTTCAGAGATTTTCAGGTCAGTTGTATCATTAGCATGGTTTTGGGTTACCAGCACTGCTGGCCTGACTTCTATCTCTTCTCCTCTTACACATCTGCTGGGGACATGCTGCTGGCTTGGACCAGAGGCAAAGGCAATCATCTCTTCTTCGGCAGCCAAATTTGTGCTTTCCATAGGTTTCAAGGAAATTTGGGAAATCAGTTCTTGGATGCTTAGCTCAGAAACTTCATCTACAGTCACTTTGTTTGAGTTGCTTGCCTCTTCTCTTTTGAGTTGGCTACAAGCCTCATTGGGTCCAACCCAGTCCTAGTGAAAGGATCAGTAAGTTCAGGACAATTTGCTCAGAGGTGGAATTTTTAAACTAACTGTTCCATCTACATGTCTTTGGCACAATAATCCAGAGGTTTATTGCAAATCTAATAGGTGAAATGTAAGTTATGGAGTAGTGATAGCATTCAATTTTCCTGAGGGAAGATTTCATAATAAATTTTTGAAATCTCACCTCCATAACATGCTACATGCTTCTTCTATTCCTTTGGCTTTGCAAAGTCATCAGGCATCTTTCATATTCAGTGTGTATATCAGAAGATGGAAGATGAGAGATGGTAAATACACTACTGATGCTTTTTGACTTTTGCTGCTTTCGTTAAACAGATCCGCCCTGTTTTTTCTTTCTTTTTTCTTTTTTTTTTTTCCCCCTTTTCTTTTTTCCTCTTGGATTTAGTGCTAGTTTTCAGAAGGGCTCTCAATATGGAGGGAACAACAGTGGTCAACATGAAGACCATTCAAACATACCTTAGATATCTGAAAATGGAGGGGGAACTTACTGGAAGAATGCAGCAATGTTAGTTTTCTTCAAGGGAGAAGCTGCCTGGTTGGGAAAGACTGCAGCTTCCTCGATCTCTCTGTTTCAAGCTAACTGAGAAAATACTTGCTTCCCTGTGAGAGGGAAACTTGATTTATTAAACCAGAGCAACCTTTGAATGATGTACTTGGATACCAGTGTTATCTGGCTCAACAAGGGGGAGGCTGAAGGCATCAGTTATTGGTAATATATAAATATATAAAAGATTCTGTGGATGCGAAAAAAGGATAGATGGTAGATGGATGAGGAATGATTTACTGGAGGGATTTTATTTCTACAGAGGCAGAAGCTGTTCTGATGGTGTAGTTAGTATTTGGAGAAAGAAAACTAGGAAACCATGGACTCCCAGGAAGACCAAAGCCGTGTGTTGGTAGCACTGCTCAGGTAGGTAGAACAATTGGTCCCAGAAACAAATCAACCCTCCCCTTAACTGAAGAACATAAGAAGTCAATGAAACATCTTACCTTAAAATTCCCATTGTGCAAATTATAGAGTGGCTGAAAGAAAGCAGCTGGTGTGGGAATATTAAGGCAGGAGAGGACTTTTGGCCTGAGGTGAGAAAACAACACTTTAAAATCAAATTGTTCTGCATTGTCTTGATGGTATAGCACACTGATGAGATGAAAACCCAACACTACTGCTGGAAAGACTGCAGTAGAAGCTCATTTTATGTGTTTCCTGACATCCTTTGTTTGTCTCTTGCACATGCATTCAATTTTTCTAGTCCAGTCTTCTCAGAAGTTTCTGAGGAACACTATATATTGCAAAATCAGTATTAGTTTATTACTCATTATATGCACTGAGCTACTTATGCATTTGTTTAGCATTGTTTGATCTAAACTACCTCTTCAAGCAGTATTTTAGTGAGCTAGTTTCACCAGATTTAGGAAAAGAAGTTCTGCCATATATCATTGTCCATTTATTAGTCTATCTCATAGAAATATTTTATCGTATGGACAAGTATTCTGTTTCTCTGAGAACAACATGTATATGGAGCATAATAGGTGCATGTCAAGGCAGAAAAGGCTTTTGTGTTACCAGCATAAAAGAAAGAAGAGTATGGTTGAGCCAAGGTTTTACATGCACTAATTTCTATAGTTTGCCTATATTGACATTTTTGATTATTCTGTTGATTGATATGTATTGACTACTAGTAGGTATGTCACTAACAGCTTAACTTCTGTACCGCTTTAACCATCCTTCAGGACTGCTGTACAATTGCATTTCTGATTTACCCACATGAAACAACTCAAAGTATCCATGGGTTTAATTTTTTTTAAGTCCAAGAGACCAGCTTGTATGCCAAGGTGTTTTGGTCTCCTTAATTATTAAGTAGGAGGTGATTAATTTTCATCAGTCAAGGATTACATCATGTCCTGAGATTGTCAAAAGAGCTTTTGAGCATGTCAGAATCTGATTGTGCAGCAAAAGTAGAAAGCAAAACAGATGTAAACACTTAATTTCTCTTTGGGCTATGAAAATCAAGGAGAACTTAATGAAGTACCATAATGTACCTTGAAGAAAGCTTGCAGTTCCAAAATAAATAGAGTAGGGTGCCAAAACTCAGAGGAATGATCAAGAACTCGAATGTTCTGGTATCAAAGAGTTTTTCAGACAGTTCGGATGCACCTATAAAAAGAACATGCACAAAAAAAAAAAAAAAAAAAAAAAGCCTAGATTTTAAGATAGATCTCCAAATAAACAATCAGTGCAACAACCCAACAACATAAGAACAACAGCAACCCTTGAAATTAAGGCAAAAACAACATTATTTTTACCTTCTCTTTGAAATACTGTTGTCTGGCTCCAGTCGCTCCACTGACTGTGGTATGAATCCTCAATTTCAGAAACTTTGCAGCGAACTCGTGCAATGTAAGAGATGCCACTGTGAAATTCTGTGCCTTCAATTTCTATTTGTGGTAGTGAACTGGGTGGTGTCTTGTTCTGTGCAGTCTGCAAGTTATTACAAACGTTTCTATTAACGAGGCAAAGGGAGAATATTTTAATAACTACTTTTTCCCCAAACTGTCTGTTCCTGGATGCAAGAAGAAGGCCTCCATGATGACAACTGATATCTGAATGCAGGATTAAGAAGATTTACTGATCTCCACAGTGTTTTATATAAAACCGCTTTATCTTTGTGTGGCAAACCAAAAAGGCTATCTTAAAGTAATCAGCTGCCAGAAGGCCCTGAGTGGCAAGGCCATTGCACCAAGAAGAGCAGTACTGTATCAGTGTGTTGCCCATCCAGTTACCTCCCATGACGAGCTGTACTCCTTGTACTGCAACTGGTACTGGAGAATTTCATCGAGGTAGGAAGGCACAGTCCACCATATCTGACACTTGCTGGCAGTAACATTGCTCTGGATGTTCAAAGGTGGATCAAGTTTTACTGCAAATAGAGAGAGAGGTTTTCCACAATATTTGGGACTGAAGCGCCGCAGAAGGAGATGCGTGTTCCTAGGCTGATCAAAGACTTGGAAGACCAAGCTGCTTCTAGTGATACTAAGTGCAACAGTAGACTGAATTAGCTTTTGCAGTAGGTCAAAACAGGTAGGGAACTGGCATAAAGGGATGCTATCTCATCCCCTGGGGATATTCCTGCAAGCAAAGAGCCACTCAAGATGTCACAGTCTCTTCCAGTGTGGCACTGGTATACAGAGGCTTTGAGATTTCAAGCTCTATACCATCTGTGTGAAGTACTGTGCCATGGGATCTAGAATTAGATCCACAACTTAGATTCTTTGTGACTTCATTTATTTGTGGCAAAACAGCAAACAGCTACCATGAAAACAATCGAGTGGTACATTATCCATGGCACAGGCAAACAGGATGCAGACAAGAAATACAATCAAAATGTACTCAAGAGCAAACACTCTCTGAAGTCCAGAAAAAGTCAAAATGGAGAGACACTGGGACTTCATCCCTACTGCTAAATCCCAGATAATGTACTCTGCAGGGCTATACAGTCTGGCTTGTTCCCATTACTTTCACCTGCTTTGAGATGCCCTTTTAATCAAGAAGTATATCAGATCCTTCCCAAAGATTCCACACAGAGCCTCGGCCCACAACTGCCCTGGTTTGCACTTACTGTGCTGGCGGGGACTGTACTCCTGAAAGGTAACGTATGTGTGATTGCTTCCATAGAAGTTGCCTTGGAGAGAGACTCTGTAACCATCTGTTTCCAAGATCTGTCTTGCTAAGTGCATCGTGCAGTGGTACTGATCCTGCATGCTGTCTCTGGCAGTCAGCTGGCAGCTGGCATTTTGGCCCTTTGACCAGAGGCTAAAAAAAATGGAAAGGCTGAAGGTTTCTTTTAAGTCATGTGATTAAGTGCTTTACAGCTTTCAAATGCTGTATCATTAAGAGTTACGCTATTTTTGACTTCATGTGAGGCATCAAATGCCAGAGCAGCTTATGCTCATGTAACAGTTTATTAATTACTGGTAGTCAAGATAACTTTATTACATAATCTAAAAAGGCTAATCTCAAATTAGCATACATAATGCTTATTATCCTATCACATCACAAATTATTCACCAGATTTCTCATCTTAGATGTAGGATTACTCACATAATAAACCTGCTACTAAAGCCCTGCATGTTTCCCAATGACAGAGAGTCAAGGCTACAACAGGAGGGCTTTCTGCACGGAGAGGCTCTTGCTAGCAGATAATACTGGAGCAGAAGACCACCCTGAGTCTGCAGGAGACCACACAGCTGCAAGGGCTCTGCTGCACTTCTTGACGTTGTGGAAGACTGAGAAGAGAGCAGCTGGGTGACTGAACTGGCAATGTCCAAAGCAAGGAAAGCCCCCAGCCGTGAACTGTCTCTGCCTCTCTGTGCTGCCCTTCCCGGGCCAGGGCCAGGAGAGCCACAGGCAGCTCTCAGCTTGCAGCTCTTACTTTGTGAAATGCAGGTGGAAAGGTCCATCACCCACGGGCTCCTCAGGTGCCCACGTACAGCTCACAGTAGTCACGTAGTTATTCAGGCAGCTCAGGCTGCCAGGGAAATCTGCAGAAGAAGCAGACAGGAGCTGCATTCATGTTATCACCTAACGAGATCTAAAATGCGCTACTTGCTAGCCTTTCCTTTAGTGATGCCTTCCTCACAATACACTCTTCCTCTCTGGTACTGCACTTCCCTGTGTGAGACGAGTGTAAGACCTTAGGGTAGACTCTGTGCAGTGGCTGTGCTTTCTGCTGCTCAGCTTGTCTGCTATGAGCGTGGCTTCCCAGGTCTGGCACTGCCAGCCAGCTGTACCACTGCTCAGGAACCAGAAAAGGGCAACCATGAGATCTTATGTTCCATTCCTTAGAGTCTTCACATAAAAATGAGAGCATGTATACACACCTCCCACAGTGGACCTATTCAAAATCTCCCCTTACCTCTCCCTTGTCCTTCACCAAGAAGCAGCACAGCAATAATGCACAGGTGAAGGCCAGTCTGCTGCACATTTCGCCCCATTCCAGACAGTATCTAAATCAGAACAATTGTTAGAAGAGTTTTTTTTCAGTTAGAAGAGTTTTTTTCTCCACACTCCTGCCAGGACAAACACGAGCTGGTAGATGCATTCATGTTTCCCTGTGTGCTGTTTCTGATGGAAGCTGAAAACAGATGCTTAGAGAAACATGTAGTGATAGAATCATAGAATATTAAGGCTGGAAAAGACTTCCAAGATTGTCTAGTCCAATCATCCACCTGCCACCAGCATTGCCCACTACAGCACTACATCTGCCCTTTCCTTAAGCGTCTGCAGGCTTGGTGACTCCACTTCCCTGAGCAGCCTGTGCCAGTGCCTGACTGCTCTTTCTGACCAGAGACAGCACTGAAGCTCTTCTCTGAAAACCTTCTCAGTCTCCAGATGTTGCAGCTCATGGGTCTCCTGAAGCAGACATAATTTCTGCATCTTCAAGGCTTCAATGCTTTTTTTTTCCTCTCATGAGCAGTATTTACCTGCTGAAAGCATCTACACCGTAACCACTATCTGCCTTTAATGACAGGTCTTTCTTCACTTGAGGGACTCACTGATTTTCTGCCATTTCCTGACGGAAACCTCCCCTTTTTCTTCACTAGAGGAAAGTTTCCTTGGGCTGCTGGTGTCACAAAAGTTGTAGGGGAGTCTTCCTTCAAACCACCTGAAGTTGCCTTGAGCCATTGTGAAATGGTTTGAGGTCAGTACACAAGTTGGGAAAGAAAAGGGTGTTCTAGCACAAACTTTTTTTTTTTTTTTTTTTAATAAATTATTCCATTTCATACCTGAAAGAAACCAAGACCTGTCATAATTTTCTCTCTTACATGTTCAAACACATGCATACAGAAAAAGCCACCATTCCGGATAGATAAGCAAGCTGCCCACCTGCAGCAAGAGAATCTTGGCATCTGTATTTCCTTGCAATAAGTATTTTCTTTGCTGCAAAAGAAAACCCCGAAAGACAGAAATTGAAAGAATAGCCAACGTGTTTCTGGCCAAACACTCATCTGGGATGTAGAAAACTTAGGACCTGGTCATTGACACAATATACTGAAAGGGACTGTATTGGAATTTGAGACTTTTCTTCTGCAATATCTCCACAAGGCTATATGGGACTCTGTCTTTCTTTTTAAATATGAATTCCATCCTGTGATTTCTTTCCTAATGACCTTTCCACTGGAAGATATTCCAGCAAACAAAAGTTGAATATGAAGAATCCTGACCCAATGTACTCATGGCGTATTTGGGAGATGCTTCCAACTTGTGGCAATGTTTGCCACTAGCTTCATGCTGCAAGAAAGGTCAGCACCTCTGCAGACAGCATCATGCTCTAAGGAGCCCACGATTCAGCCTGGAGTCCAGAAAACACAGAGTGAGAGCATGAACCAAGAGCACTTCTGAGCTTACCCTAAAGCAGTTATTTGAAGAATTCAAAAATAAGAGGAAAATGTTGTTTCCATGGCTTCCCCAGTGCAGGTACAGAACTGAGCTCTGGAGTAAGAGGAGGCTGTGAGAATGTCCTGTCTTGAAAGGGCATGGTTGACTTATTGCGGGAGGAGGAGGGAATGCCACCTCTATGAACTTTCAGAAGCAGCTGGAGGAAAGAGAGATTCACAACAGGATAGAGGAAACTCTGAGTGTAGCACTGGCAAAAAGCCAAGTGAGCTTAAGCAGGCTATGGAGTGAGTGTGGTTTCTAATCAGCAGGAGCTCTGGAGTGGTCTAGAACAGGACTGAGAATAAGTCTTTACTTAAGAAGGACTGTGATGTTTCAATCAGCAGGATTGTTTTATTGAAGGTATTGTATGATCTGATAACTATAGAAGCAGGAGCTGGACTCTATGGTCAAAAGCATCCTTTCACTCCCAGATGTCACACAACTAAGCAGCACTCCTATAGCAAACTCCTTCCTATGATTAGATTTGCTTACAGCATAGCTTTTCTGAATTAAGTAGGAAAATAATCAGAATGTCTCAGAAATTGATCAAAGGAAAAAAAAAAAATCTTTTTGGCTTCCAATTCACCATGCCTTCATTTATGGGTTTTTGGTAGACATCCTGTTTTGCTACAGACCTTCTTCAGAGTGGGCGTTGCATAGAGGAAGCGCCTCTGCTAGCTGAGTTTAGCTGGGGGAGGTGGGAGGCACGTCATCTCTCCTGCTTATCATCTTGATCAGAGTTGCATATGATCCCTGTGATAAGTACAGTAAAGCTGACTAAATCTGAAATAGACAGAGATGTGTAAGCACATGCACAAATAGAATTATGCGTACTATTATAAATGCCCAGGCGCACAAAGAACATCAAAATTACTACGCAAGGTAATCACCTATTTCCAGGTAAATGTAGCTAATTTGTTAATATTCCTTCCCCTCTCTCTCAACCTCTCAAAAATTCTCTTTGTTCAGTTCTTCAATGTCTGAAGGGCGCCAGACATCTACAATTGCTCTTTCTCACCTGGAAACAAATACAACGCTGTTTAAATGCTGATCTGTGTGTTACAAGTCACATGAACGTTTGTTGTAGTGGGGTAATGGAATGCTAAGTTCTGAAAAGTTTAGAAGAAAATGATTTGGGGCAAGTAGCAGATAAGCAGCTGAGCCACAGCCTGCAGTACACTGACACAATTACAAGAACCAGCACAGATCTTGGATGTGTATCAATTAAAAGATGTGCTATTGCAACTACTTTTAGCATTTGTAATGCCATTATTAGTCCTTCCCTTGAGATCCAAGCTTTCAATAAGATGTTACTGAAAAGATTAAAATCGTTCTGATACGAGCTATAAAAATGATTTAATCTTTGATATCTTTTGTCTGAGATAAACAACTGAGAGATCAAGTCATCTCTTAGACTTAACCAAAGGAAAGGCTAAGAAGCAATTTTACGCCAGCTAGAATTATCAGTACAGGAAGAGTACTTCAGATAGGAGAAAAGTTGCTTTTTAAAATCTGCTAGAGAAAGATGGAGAGAGTTCAGTAGTTACGAGCTGAAGATAGATAAGGTATCTTCATTTCTAAAGGGCAGAAGGTGAACAGAGGAGAACCACATCTCTTACCAAAACCTCTTACCTAAGCATACATTCTAACACTTACAATCTATAAAACTTGGTTAGGTATCCAGAAAATAAAATAAATTCCTTTGCTCAGATGAAAGTCACAAGACTGATACAGGACTTCTTAGTTACAGCTCTCTGTCCTGAAGTTATCACAATGAACTTTCCTCTGAACACCTGCAGTCCTCTACCTTGCAGAGGTAAACCTGCTGTATGTCCAGTCAGCTGGTTCACAGACAGGTGATATCACTTCTCAGTAATTGCCAAGCACTTCCCTATGTGCAGAAAGGCAATAATGGTACAAGTATTAGCATCTGGGGGAACTGATAACTGCAGAGACATCATGAGGCTGAGCTCTGTCTGCTGAACATTACAATGAGATTTGTCTTGTAAGAAGCAACTGTATGTTTTCCTAGTATCCTAGATATACTCCAGTGCCTTTTCTCATTGTTCAGATCTGCTTTGCTTCCCACCTGCTTCAAATTACTCAGCTGTGGAAAGTGAATTGCCACATCGTCCAAAGGCTGATGACAGCCCAGCCAGCCCACAGATAAACTGTTCTGCTAAGGTCCAGAAGAAAATGCCTGCTTCAGTAATGTTTTCTTCTTCTGTTGGTAGGAATGAAGATTTTTATAGGCCAAATAGCAAAGTGGATGCATATGGCTAATTCAAACTCAGTTCTCCTTGACAGCAGACAGCCACTGAGGGGGCAAAAACGAGATAAGTCAAAAGCCCTTTTCAATTTCAGTGAGAATGGAGCAAAGGAATTCTCAATGGCCTAGTGAGCATTTGTCATTACTACCAGTGACCATCATCTCAGAACACTGCCAATTCTTTTCACAGCAGCAGGAGAACAAGAACCTAATGATCAAGCCAGGAAGCAAGCAGAAGCTAACAAGATGTCAACGCTGGTGACCTTGGGTTCCCAATGATCTCAGCTGGTTGCAATAGTATTCCCATCCTTTCTTCCTGGGCAGAGTTCTCTTGTCTACTGTCTGCTCAAGAAAATAAGGCTTTGCAGCTGTGCCTTTTCCATACCTTCCTGTAGTTCTATTTCCCATTTCAAACAGAATTTCTACAAAACACAGATTTCCCAAATGCTCAGCTGTTGTTGCCAAATCTGTTCACATTAACAGAAACCCATATTCAAAATTTAGTCTCACTCTCACGTTTGAGGTCCAGTACAACATAAAAAGTTTTGCTTTTGAGAATGTATAGGGTGAAATAAATATTCGGATAGGTAAGGGAATTAATACAAGATGGTGATAGCACACTCTCAGCATACAGGCAGCCTAGATGTTCTCTGGTTCGAAGCAACTCAACAGAGCTGTCAGGAGAAACTAAAAAAATGAAGCTGAGGTAGCTCAGAAGAGAATTATAGGCACCAGCGTGTAAGCAACAGCATGGCAGAAATTAGTGTAGGGCTGATTTGATGAACTAATTGGAGCTGGAGGCTAATATCATGGAGTTGACTTCTTGATACGGAAATGAGAGTTTACAAGAGGAAAAGGAGAAGCTGTCAGGGACTGTGAAGATGTAGACAAGAAGGTTATTCCTGATGTGACAGAGACAGGGAGAAAAGTAATAGAGTAAAAGTGACAGAAAAGTCCTGTAAGAAACCCCTTAAGAAAAAATAATGTTATCTACCCACAGAATAGCTAGATCTCTGAACGTGTCCAACAGAAACATGTAAAGCACATGTAGCTCACTCACATGATCAGCCTGTGAGTGTGTGAACTGGTAGAGAATAAGAAAGTAGAAGGATTTCCCTGTCCAACCTCAAATAACCAATCTTTTGCTGCCTTCATCTTTGGAGAGCCATTTTTCCATAACTTGGTGCACAGGAACAGCTATGAACTACTGGCTTTGACAGATTTGCACCCTGTCAGCTGAGAGAAGTTTCTACATAGGAAGGCTACTGTAATAGAGTGGTACTGGTGTGTGTGTATTTTTATGTATGTACACACATATATATGCATACATGAAAAGAATTTATTTTTGCCCGCATAGTTCCAAACACTGAGGGGGGCTATTCTGGCTGAATTTGTTTACATTCATCTTTTTCACTCAGAGAGAAGGGCCTATTTCTTTATTATTTTTTTTTTTTAACCAAGATGATGCCTCTTTTCAGCACAATCTAAGTCTGAATCAATGTGACAGAGTGTGGTTTTGTACTCAGCAATCTAGCAGAACAAAAGTGCAAAGACCCTTCTGGTGGTTTGGTTGTTCCAGCCTCGTAGTGCAAGAAACAATATACAATTCCGCATTAACATGAATCAATTATTTTTTATATCTTATATTTTATCTTAGTAGATGTATCCTATCATTATCTACTGGCTTGCATAACATAGAAGTAAGTTAAACCATCTTACCAGCTCAAAGGAAACTTCACTTTTCACTCTGCCTCTGTCCCTCAATAGTGCAGGGTGTGTGGTTTGATGATCAGGCAGTAGCAGCAGTGGTGTAATAAAGTAGAGCTTACTGTGCCCGATTCTAAAGATATTCTCAAGAACCAATGAAAAACTGCTCAGATTATCAGATTGAGTTGAAGTAGCTGCATCTGCAATTACTCATTAGTGATGGATAATCTGAGGAATTTCTGTTAAGAGGTTAACTTTTAAAAGGCCAAATAATTTGCTGAATATGAAAGTATCTTCTTGGAACACTTCTATAAAAAGTACCAACAAGAGAGCTCTCTGTAGGTGACCTAAATCCAGTTCCTTGCCTCGTGTGAATGTTTAGATGCATCCATTGGCCTCTGTGCAGCAGGGCTATCAGTACTGCCCAGCATCACAAGCACCCTGAGCTGCCCTGTCCTCCACTTCTTCCCCAGTCTTTCCCTGCAATGAGCTCAGAGGGGCAACACTGGAGGCAGCAGAGACTAATGAGAGTTCCCTGTCTGCATCCCTGAAAACACAGGGAACAGATATTTCTAATACTCACTGAAACACTGCAGTGTTACAGTCAAGATCTACCAAGCTGGTCACGTACATGGGTATGGTGCCAAAGAAGGGGAAGAGAAGATGGGTTGAATAACAGTGTCTCATTGTGAGCTTCACGGACCAAGAGACAGGGCAATGTGGAACTGGAGACACATATTTCCAAACTGGTAATGCAGTTAGGGTGATGGTGATTCTCCAAGTAGTTGCTCTCAGGTCTTCCCCACCTGGTATAACTTCTACCAGTCCCATGGTTACCCATCCAAATATGTGTTACACTTCTTATCATTACAACAACCCTAAATGTGAGCAGAAAAAGAAAAAACCTTAAAATGCAAGCAACCTTTTGGAAGAGCAAATAGCACCTGCTGCCTCAGAGCTGTCGGGACAGGCGTAGATTGCCTGCTACAACAGACAACATTTTGTCTCTGATAGAGACACATTGTAACCCTGCATCTTCCAGCCTGTTGCTTTAGGACAGGGTAAGGATGCTCCAGCTGCACAGTTTTGACTTGTTTGCCTTCAGAGCTGGCAGAAAAGTCAGTACAGGAGTTCAGCATGTATTGGAATAGACGGTCAGTGCAATAGCCTGGTACCATTTCTGTACCCTGGTCATTCTGTGGCTCAAGACCACTTTCCTCTGCTCATCCATAGTGAGAGGGCTCAGTTATGTCCCCCAGGCTAAGCACACAAGTCAGCAATATCTTAAGTGCACTTTCATGTCCCTGATCATTTTGAATACTGTCGAGGGTGGAATTGAACCTTTTACAGATGTTTGAATTTGGAAGAAGCCTCCCAGAAAATCAACAAAATGTGGGCTTGCAACCAGTGTGGCCAAAGGAATCCTTGGGAAAAATGTCTTTTTCAAATTAAACACTGTTAGGTCAGGGACATTTGTAAAGTTTGCTGCTAGAAGCCTCACAAAAGCAAACAATCCACACCAACCCATCAAATACCTCCACATCCACAGTGCTGTGTCAACAACTCTTTGGACAACAACTCTTTGGCCAAGCTTCTCTCTTACAGCTTGCTTTAATGGGGACTGTACCTCCTGTTTTCAATCCTTGTGCCACGTGCCATACAATCTCCTCTCTGCCTCTTTGAGTGACCAGAGGCAGCTTCAGTCCAACAGAGCTGTGAAACACCACCTTGTACCAGATGTGTGGCTTCAGATTGTGTAGCAATGATAGAAACCTCTCCTCCAGCAGTTTTGGGGTCAGTGATGTTATCAGAAGCATGGAACATATAGAACTGAGATGAGAAAGGGCCCAGAAAGATGGGTGAAATCCCCCTCCCCCCCTCAGCAGCCTTGGCCAATTGCCACGAGGTCATTTTAGAAGAGCAAACAGCTGTATGATGTGTCTGTAGGAGGCAGTTACAGACAGACCATCAGCGGTGCTTCTGCCCAGTGCGCATTTGCACAGACACAGCAGAGCTTGCAGGACACTGCGAGGAACGCATCTCCCCAACGAGGAAGCAGAGCTGACTCGCTCCTCTGCTGCCTCGTTGAGGACATGAAGGGTACTTGCAGCACAGCCGCAGAAGACGGCAAAAACAGAAAAAAAAAAGGAGAGAAGGAACCTAACTCACTGATATCAATCACTCTGTACGCAGGAAGGCCAGAGCTATGGGATATCTCGAGGCAGTAAAAACAGTACAGGCAAACAAGCAAACCCATGTAGGCTCAACATGAGCACGACTGGCAGCACAGCTGCTGTAAGTAATCAAATAAGGGCTGTGGATGCGTAGAAGAATCTCCCACAGCACCCACCTGTAAAAGAAACAGCTTCTCTTCATTGCAAAGCTCCCTCTTGTTAAGGGAGTGTGCTGTCTGTGACAGCAATTGGAGAGCGATTTCTCTGTCCTTATTTCATCCTGTTTTCTACTCCTGATCCTTTGAGGAGGGGGAGTGAGAGAGAAGCGTGGAGCTCAGCTGGCCATCAGAGTGAAACCACTACAGGGAGCTGTGGGGTTGCTGAAAGTCTGGAGTAAAAGCTTGGGGAGAAGGAAGGGTGTTTATTGGTATTACAGGAACACACTGCTAATGACACAGGTTCTCTCACTGTACAATCAGCAGCCAAGTGCTTCTTGGGTTAGTAGCACTGTGCCTAGATAAGATGTGAGGTGTTCACATTCAGTATCAGTATCACATTAACTTTTTAAGACAGTTATCCTAAACAAAACAGGCAGAGATATGTGGAGAAAACAATCACAGATGCAGTGTAAATGCCACTTTCGTTGTAGGCTGTATGAGCTAGCAGAGATTGGTGAAGCTCTGTGCTGCTGATCTGTGAGCTGCAGCAAAGCCCAAGACAGGAGACAGAGCTGCAGGCACATCCAGGTGGTACAACATTCCTGAAACTTCTGCATAATTCTAATAGCTACTCAGCACTATAGTTAATATGCTTGGAAAACGTGTGGAGAGGTGCAGGATCAGTAGGAAGCCCAAGCAGAAGGAGTTTCTCTGGAATTACGTTTTGAAGATTTTTAATTTATAGACTCTATCTGCAAAGGCAAGCCTCATCCAAAACCTGAGGTATGATTTGTCTCTTGGATACGCCATTCCCTGATGATGAGGAATGTTTTTGATTATACCCCATGGACGGGGATGGATGTAATTAATACTTAATACAAACTTTACAGGTGTGTGTACAGAGGGGAGTGGTTGGAAAAGTAACAACACCTGTTGTTAGAATAGGGTAAGGGAACTTTAATGTAACAAACATACTTGCCATTAGATACGCTTATAAGATTCCATGTACATCCAACTCGAGTCATAAGAGAATGCCAGGGAAAAACCCTTTAAAGTTCTCTACTATTTACAAGCTTACTTTAAAAAAAAAGAAAAAAAAAAATCTATGTAAGCTAAAGAGCAATTTTAAAGGTACAGTTGCTTTTTCTTGTTGTGAAAAATTAAAGTCTGTAGTCATTATATAAGGATTTGACAAAGAATGCTGAAAGAAAATTAATCATGCCGGGTTTGATACAATGTGGACAGAATGAGTGGCAGTAGAAATAGACCTGTATCTCTCTGGATGTAACTGTTCTCCATTGTATGTAGTACAGCTTACACAGAGTAAACTCTGCTTTTTCTTCTGAATTTGGCCAACACTTTGCTTCTGGCACAGGATGGGAAAGGCTCTCTACTCTGCAGAACAAAATCAACTGCTCAGTTTGTCTGAGTCCCGCTGGCAGGGCTGTCAGCATGGCAGGAGATCCACTGCTTGACATAGCTCCGCGGAAAGTCCTCTCCCTCCTGCTCAAGAGAAACGGACCCACAGTTGGTCTGGCTATTTTGCTCAAAGTCACAGTCAACTGGACTCCCGCAGTCCGAGTCCACAAAGCCGCTGTCAATAGTGTCCAAATCTAGGCAGATCATGGGGTAACTGTCACCAGGCCTTGCACTGCGCGGGAAAAAGTCACAGGATCCTTCACTGTAGGACACACTTTCACCATCAGGAGAAGGTAGAGAAGCTGGATTTTCCAAATCCCACTGATTAGGATGCAAGCAGAGGGCTTCTAGGATGCTCCCCATCCCTCCTTCCACAGCCTCTTCAACTTTCTGGTGGCCTGGGGCACCTGCAGTCCTCAGGTGACCTGTGGACATAGTGCCTGAGGCCAGAATTTTGTCCTGTGAGCTCACGTCAGACAGATGCAAGGCACTGGATGGCATTCTGTCTTCGTCATCAATGTTAACCTTGGGGTAACCATTTTCTCCAGCACTATCTTCATCACCATTATGCTTTTGTTCCCTGTACATGCGGTTACAGTTGCACTGGCAGTTACAAGGTGTAAATTCATCAGCCACTGTCACAGTGTCAATGGACAAATGTCCATATGAGCGGTCCTGAGTCACACTGCTGCTGTTCACACCTGACAGGAGGCTGTCTTGGACTGGGGCGGTCAGGCAGGACACACAAGGCTTGCAAGGCAGATCATTTTTCAACTCCTTTATCTCCTCCTGTGAGGTGCAGTTGGAAGGACGCATGCTGAAAACTTCTAGGACTTCTGAAGGGACTATTTCCCATTCAAATAAATCAATGGTCATTTTCATATGGGATGTACCAACCCACTTCTGCATGAAAACACAAACAGAGAGAGAGAGGTTAGTATTGTCAAGTGTGAGTTTCTACAGAGGCGACTGAAGATTTTTGGTTTTCAGAGGCACCACTGATCCGTAATATCACCGACTCCCCTAAAGTGGTAGGGTATGAGATGCAGTTATTACAAGGAACAGGCAGTGCAGAAAAAATAGCTCACATAAACAAAATTAATCACCTCTAAGAGATTTGCATGGCTTTGCAGTTTTCCTCATGCTGAAACAGACAAAAAACAACATAAACCAACCAAAGAAGCTGCCACTGCCCATAGCAGCATTCCCAGTTCATCAGCCAGAGGTATCCCCCCTAAGCCACCATGTCTGCCCTGCACCCTTCTCTGGGACACAGTTTCTCTCTGGAAGCAAAGTCAGCTTCTCTACATGCAACATCTGCAGCCAGCACACACATAGCCCTGTTCTGTCACTTCCCTCATCTTAGCTGCTCATGGCAAGGCTTGACCTGATCTTTTGTGAAGATCATCTTTACCATGCCCAAAACTAGTCCTGTCTCTCACAGCGACAAGAAAGATGGACAGGGCAGGGGCTGCAGGCATCAAAGAGCTGTAGCTATTGCTTGGTGCAGATAACACTGGGATGACTGGGAGGTGTCTCACGTTGGATCTTGTCCTTGCATACCACCACTAGCATTACAGCACACACACTCTGCTGCCATCTGTCACACAGCAACAACGTGTAACAGGATTTTGGTGGGAAGGTTCAACCTCTGCCATCATGGGTCTACATATTAAACAGCAGGCATTTGTTTCAGAGCAGCCCTTGCTTTTGGGAAGAGATCATCTTGTGACACACTGACACCAAGTGTAGAAACTTCACTACTGCAGGAAGTACCTAATTATTCCAAATTATTCTTAACCTAAGCTGCAAAGAGCTTAGTGTTAAAGCTGTGCATGCAACAGGCTATTTGAGGGAACAGCAGGAAACTCCCTCCTCAGAACTGAGCAAGCAGAATATTTCCTATGCCCTCTTGACACGCGTTTGCACGTTCCCACCCAACATAAACATAAGAACCCACATACACTAAGTGGTAAACAATGTTCCTCTGCTTTCCCTTCTCCTTTTCTGTCTTAACAGTTCTCTGATGTTTTCACTGCTTCCTGTCCAACCCAGGTCTGCTCTGTGCAAGCATTGCTACTGTCATTATTTACAGACGTTTCCTGAGCACTTGCTTTGGTGCAGGCAAGATGCAGTTGAACAAGCCTTAATTGATTGTTTTTCTGCCTGCTGATAATGATGATGATAAAGATGACTGTTCACATATTAGTGAGGTCACCACATCCTCTTGACGCTGTCAGTTTCTGAATCTCGTGTGCTGCTTTATTCTGCAAATTCATTAACTTTCTCAGAACTGAGCTTTAGCAACACTGTAACTGACACTCATTCCTTCCCAGAAGCACTGACCAAGCAGATTAGAAACCAGCAGTAGCATCAGTCCCATCGAGCAGGGTGAAGCCACAAGATTCTCTGACAAGAGCACGGCTCTGCGCATGACAGGCTGGTTTCACTTCCACTATGAGTGCCATCCCTTAACTTTTAGGAATTCCCACACTGGGCTCACCTAGTCCTGGCTCCTTTCCTGAGAACAACCATGTGCACCAAAAGGAGATGCGAGTACCCCTGGCATGCAGATAAGGGAAGCTGTGATAGGACTGAAAGGGGAAGGCAGGAAAGAAAAGAAACAACTGCTGTAGTCTTTAGCTTAAGTGGTGCCCATGCAAAATTTGCCATTTAACCCAACTGCACACATCATCCACACAGCACCAGGAAAGGACACGATGATCGTCAGGGCCCCGCTGGCAACTCTCTTGCAGAGGGTCTAAGAAAAGCAGAAACAAAAAGCAGACACTGAAGTGCCTATGAGCAGTGCTACCAGCCAGCAGGAACAAAAGGAACTCATTCAGAAAGAGGCAGTGATCTCTGCAGTTCAGTGCCAGCACTTTCGCAGTTTTACAATGGCATTGGGGGTTCTCTTCAGCTTAATGCAAAGTCTATGGATACTCAATGTTCTTTACTTTTTAATCTTGACAAATCCTGAAAACCCTGTGAGTTTTGCAAGACACTTTGTCAGGTGAGCAAGTCTGACTGATGTTAAAAGAGAAGGTAATTAATGAGGGCTAGGCAAAGTTGCTCACTTTACAAAGATACTTCCTCATGGAGGAGGCAGCTGCACATACAGTGCTGTGACACAGCAGCTATTTCTCCCCAGAATTCTAGCCATCTTTCCAGGGTGATATATCTATATGTTGTCTGCACAAGTGACTCTCCAGCGAGAACTGCAAAGATTAATGTTGAGCCTGTGTTACTGCAGAGGCTGGACTGGGAGATGTGGCCTACAGCAAAACCTACAGTCCAAATCCTTGATGGCAGCATGAGATTGCAGCATGAGATTGCAGTCCTGATATTGCTTTGTCCATTCCCTTCACAACTAGAAACTTCACAGTTCAAATATGAGCTCAGCTCATCACTAAGACAGCATTTACAAGACATGAGCAGCACAGGCATAAAGACCATCACAGTACAGAAAACATACTGGAGGGCTCTGATCCCATGCAGCATTCCCTTGAGATGTTCTTTCACTTACTGTACTAATGAGAATCCCTTGCCCAGGAAATAATGTGGGGCCTTTTAGTTTACTTTTGTCAGGCTGCAGGTGATTCTGGGCAGCCTGGTCTAGTGGTTGGTGACCCTGCACATAGCAGGGGGTTGGAATGAGATCATCGTTGTGGTCCTTTTCAATCCAGGTTATTTTATGAATCTGTCATAAGCTTCACTTGCTTATGTAGTTCATTTATACCTTGAAATCTCCATTATACATCAGGTAAAGTGGTTTGAAAAAGGCAGATGGATCTGGGATGCAAGCGATCTTCTTCCACAAGCTGGAAAAGAAAAAAAGAAAGGTCTTGGGTTAAGCACACTGTCTCTCTGCAAGAGGGGAGAGGCCCCAGGCTTGCACTGAGTGACTTGCACCACCTTGAAAAGGGGCAGCAAGCCATGCCTGCTCCCATTTGGGCATCTCCAGACCATGGACAGGACCAGGAAAAACAGTTCAGGAGCCTGGAGGCCTCTGCTCAGTCCCTGTGCACAGTGTTCTCTTCCACCCAGCCTATTGAGAGGCATCAGAGCTGACAAAGAAAAGCAAGGCACTCTTGACATTACACCAGCTGGAGACTATACTTTGCTGGCCCTCACAAGGCCACAGCTGTATCTATGCCTGAAGGCACAATATGCAAAGAAGGCTGCATGTGAACACCCTATTTTTAGCAGAACAAATAAGGGGCATTTAAGTCCAGCTTCCCTATGGGCTCTTACCTCTGCTGCTTGGCCAGAAAGGTTGTGATTGAGGCAGTGATCACCATGGCAACAATAAAGAACAGCATCCACTCCATGCCTGCTCTCTGTGTCACGGCTGGAGAAAGAGACAAGGTCATTCAGACTCACCTTGCACTTTGACCGTGGTCAATAAGCAGCAGAAAGAAGACCCTGAGATTTTACCCCAGACTTTCTCTTAGAGACTCTGAGGCTGTTATGTGGGGACCAGCCCCTGTCCATGAGGTCAGGTATGGGTGAAGTTGGTCAGAGAGGATTCAGCAATGAAAGGAGCTGTGCATCACTGCTGCAGCAATGCCACAGGGCAGCTGGCAGCCGATGTGCTTGAGGCAGGTCAGCTCCCTGCGCCTGGGCTCAGTTCTCCTGCCTAGAGTTCATGGACCCATAAGCAAGCCAAATGCCTGCCTTTACCAGACTATCTAGCTTTTGTTCTAATTAATTAGATTTCAGTAGATTTCTGGTAGCATTCTCTGACACTGAGCAAACTGGAAGGACAGGGAGAGCTAACAGAACGTACCAGCAGGGCTGGTTTTCAGTGTCAGCCGGGAGCTCCACTCACTCCAAAATCCATAGTAGCCAGTGTCTTCTCGGGGTCTGGCTCTCACTTGGAATTCATACTCAGTGTTCCCCTGGAGTTCCCATGGCAGGATCACCAGTGTCCGTTTGTCTTCATGGACAGACTTAATCTTCTGAGTCTGTAAATAATTACACATCAAGTAGTCAGTGAGGAGAGAGTGCTCTCACCTTACCCTCACTTGGAGCCCTGCAAAGGAATCCCCTCATGCTGTCATGTTGTTTCTGTGGGCTATACTCTGGCTGCTCAGCAGCTGCCTGAGGCCCTGGGGGATTCTTCAAAGCAGAACAGGAGAAGCAAATGATCTACCTCTCTTCCCCACAGAACCTTGTACTTTTCTAACAGCTTCTGCTTCTCAATTCTTTTTATAGTTTTGCTTGTTCTTAGTCCAGGCAAGCAAAATAGAATCTTTTTCAAAACCTCAAGAACCCTTCTTCCACACCAGTGCTCCTGTTCTGCTAGGGCTGGTCCCCTCTTTGCTGGTACTTTGATGGTAAGCCAATATCTCACTTACCTCCCAGGTGTCAGCCCCTCTCTTATAACGCAGCTGATATTCCAGCTCCTCATTCAGAAAGTAGAAAAGAGGGTTCTGGTAGATGGTTTCCCAAGAAATATTGTAACCTTCTGTGAACACAGCAGTCAGATTGAATGGAGGCTGTGGTCTGACTGGGGGTGAAGACACAACAGTGTTACTCTTCACAACATCAGTGCAGATGCAAGAGAGCGCAGTATGAGGAAGGCAGAACACAGAGGGGCCAGAAGTGCCCTGGGGGGTGCAGCACTGCACAGCACAAACTCCTGCGCAGGCAGCACTGTGACATCTGGTGCTCTGAATGCCTTCTGTCCCTGACTCTGTTGCCCATCTCTGCAATTCCTTATCATCTCAGGAACCAGGGAAAATAGCACGAGGGCAGCTAGCTCCTGGGAGATGAGGAAAGCGGAGTTCTTTGTTCTGTTCATCACACAGGTCTCCTTTAGTCATAGTCACTTGCACAGTTGGGTGACTTTCAGCTCAGGCACAGTCATGAGGTGTTCTGCAGTTTATAATGGCAACAATAGGATCCCACTGTCCTGCCCAGAGGAGTGCACACTGAACACAGCTCCCCACCCTTGGTTGTCTTGCTCATTCCCTGCCCAGACTCCATCCTGGCAAATCGAGACAAGCTTAAACAACATACATCGAGCCCATCATTTTTGTACTTACTGTTTTCTCTCATATAAAAACTTCTGGAAATCACATGCTGCCTGTCAGCTATCTCTGTGACATCCACCTGGACTTTGATGTCTGCCAGCAGCTCAGTCATGTCCACAGTACAAATGTATTCTGTGTGGTTGGTGCTCCTGGACAATTCCAGGAGACTGCAGGCTGCCACAGTGTTTTCTGGATCGTCCTCATCAACCCTGAAACCATTAAAAAAAAAAACACCAAAGAAAGTAGTCCACTTCTATCACATAAACTAGTTGGACTGATCTGTCACTGCAGCAAAGCAGATTGCAATAAAAACTGTGTTCTATTAAGACGTACCATGTAGCAGTGATATTGTATGAACTGGCACCCAGGTCATTCCTCAGGAGGCAGGACAGGGTCTGCACATAGTCCACAAAACAAGTGAGGTTTTCACGACATGTGGCTGCAGGTTTGGAGAGAGAAAACACAATACCAGCTTCCATGCTGCAACAAGCAGAACTTGGTATCAACACACAGCCCTTGGGAGTCCTGATACATCCAAAGAGAACAGACTGCCCTGCACCAGGCTCAGAAAGCCTCCAGTCCTAGAGCACAGGAATGTTCCACCTCCAAAGGGAGGTGAACCCCTGGCAGCCATCAGTGATAAAGAAATACCTACTGGGAATGCTGCAGCAGCAGATGATGTACAGAAATACCAGAATGTGCCCAAACCGGGGCTGAATTTTCAAACGTCTCTCTGCCCTCTCTCACACGATCACAACCTAAGATTCGTGGCTCTTGGCACATTAAAAATTGGTAATTTAGTAATTCTTTCTTTACCATTCTCTCAGCTTAAAATTTTCTACAGTTTGGTATCTGCAGCATCAATGATTTTCATATCCAGCTCCAGAGACTTGGAATAGACTTCATCAAATGTTGGCAAAAAGGTATTGCAATTTTCCCACTATTATTTCCATAAGTAATTCTGATGCTGAAGTGACTGGCAGAATTTATTGATCACTTAAACTGAAACAGACTTCTGATGAGAACCTGAGAGGCAATTATGGAGATCATAGTGTTGTCATTGGGAAAATGAGCACACTTACAAGTGGCCACAAAACAGCATTTACTCTTTTAACAGTTCTCAGAGGCTGAGAAGTAAAAAGAGCTTCTGCAGATGTGCCATACAACACCCTATCACTCTGAGCATGGCACTGTCTATTTCAGCACTCAGATCCCTGTGCAAGACCTCCAGTGAAGCAGGAAGGTGGCAGAAAAAGAAGTGTGGGGATTCTTGCAGCAGCCTCTGTCTCCAAATTGTGTCCATGTGCTTTACTACACATTGCATTATTCAAATTACGTGGCTGTTATTTTGTTTCATTTTGACTTTTTCCTCTCACTCTGACTTCAGAATTCTGTTCTGAAATTTTCATTAATTTCATTTTGTTTCATTTCAATCTTAGCTCTTCATTCTGTGTCCTCAGCAGGCTGCCCTGAGCCCCCAGGGCATGCATTTCTTGCTTTGGTCCCAAACAAGATACTTTTTCTTCATTAGAATAACTTTGTTCTTCTAGAAGAAAGACAGCTGTTACCCCTGCTTTCTTTTAGAAAGGGCAGCAACTATTTATAAATTAATAAGCACTGCTAATTATCATTCTTCTATGCTATTATGATATTGGTCAAAAAGTCTACTACTCCTTGGCTGTCTGCACAATTATCTCTGCAAGAATTTGTTAACGAATTGAAGAAGAGGTCAAATTTTTACTGGTAAGGGAGTAATAAAAGGTTAGATGAACCCAATCGACTTCAGGATGAATTCCATCCCTGGCAGCTTCAGAAAAAAAGATCAAAGGATTTTACTTCTAACAGTAAGATCCAGCCTGGTCGACCTGCTAAACTAACTATTAAAGAAGTTAGTACAGTTAATTCCTCATGTTACTCAAAATTCGCAATACTGACATCACAGTATGGCAGAAGATACAACTCTGAATTCACCTCTTTCACTAATTCCAGGGCTCTGCCTAGATCAGCGTGTGAAATGCTGAGCTCACGCCCGTTCTGTGCAGATGCTCTTGTTGCCACCTTTTTCTGTCCAGCAGCAGCAGATAAGAACCAGCAAGGGAAGTGGCAGTGGTCATCTGCACAGTGCAGACCTGAGCAAAGGGGTTCAGACTGGGAGAGATCACTCCAGCGTCCGGTTGGCTTCCAACTGCGATGTATGCTGTATATCCAGCTATCAGCCACCAGAACGTTCCCGATAGCAAAAGTTTTGGGGAGGAATCCTACCCCTATGTCACCAGGAGCCATTTCAGTGCAAGGCAATAACTGTCTCTGCAGCATCCCATCCCTGTTGATGCCACTCTGCAATTTGGTTGAGATCTGCCCAGCTCTGCTCCCTCTCTTGCCTGTTCTTCACCTCCCCTCCCCGTGGAACCCTCTCCACTACCATCTGTCTTGTGCTTATTGCCCTGTGGCACTCTTGTGTACAGCCCTGCAGAGCCTGTGCCCATGACCAGGAAGGCAAGCCTTGTGTACAGCCAGGAATATGTGTCTGTGAACTTACTGTACTGGAATAAAAGGAAGAAGGAAATACTCTGGAGCCATAGTTTGTTCCTCATTTTGGTTCTGACTGGATGCCCTGAAAAAAAGCAAAAATCTGTACAATGAGGGGTTCAGCTCAGCCATCTGCTCATGTGCGTTGGAGGTTAAAGTGGAATTAATCAAGCCTTCATTTACATGTCTAAAAGTGAACTGCTTAATTTGGGCAAGGCATCTCAGCTTTCCTTCATACATCCCTCCCATGAGCTAAGGGTTTGGGGTGGGGGGCCTATGGCCATTATACAGATGAGTGACATTTCTGCTCTTTGCCAGCAGCATTTGCTCAGAGCAAGCGGAAAAGTGCCTGCAGCCTCAGCCTATCCATGCAACAGGAAGACACTTGGTTAAATGCTAACTCATTTTTTCCTTCATCAACTTCCTGCAATTAGAAATGTCTTGCAAATAGAAGTGACACTGTTGTGGCTTAAACCTCTCTAGAGTGCATTAGTCCAATAAACAAGTCTGAATGTCAGTGTGGGTCTGTATGGGTAGTACCTGTGAGAACTCACTGATTTGGACTCTGTATGTTTAAATAAGCAAGGGACATCCAGCTAAGGGACTCCACAGAGCCAGGAAGAGTAAAACAAAGAACAGTCTCCCATCTGTCACAAGAATAATAATGCATAGCACTCTTCTGGAGAAGACTGTCCTGATACACTTTGGTGAAAAGAACCTACAGGAAAGGAAGGTCTTCAGAGAAGGGTACAGCAAGATGTGTGTAACAAAATGAGGAAACAACACCAAATACAGATGACTGCTACACTTTCAGTGACTGACCCCGCAGGAGCCCCTCTGCTGACTGCAAGCCATGCTTGCAAGCAACAAGTGCCAGAACACTGCAAAACTTGGCCCTGGTTTGCAGCAAGGCACCTGTGAAAATGATGTGGAAGAAGCAAACACCCAGGTGCCCATCAGAGAGAACGCCAGCAACGCCTCTCCCACTTGGGGAATACTCAAGATGTTTAAAAATTTCCAAGTTTACTCAAATAATGAAAGCAAAATAAATTTAGCAGCCACCAAAAAGCCCCTGCAAACCACGTGAGATCTGAGACTCGCTCTCAAGGCTCTGCAGTGTCCAGATGAGATCAGCAGGGCTCACTCCGGCAGCAGCACCTCAGCTCTGCAGCAGGAGCAGTTGTGCTGCTGCTGCCCTCACTCCCTTGCAGACACAGAAAAGCAGCTGCTCCAGCTCACCAAGGAGCCCAGGCACCCTGCTTGTCTCCCTTGCCTGCTGTGAGCAGCAGGACAGAGGCTCTTTCTCCAGTTCTCCAAATATTCTCTGTGACTGTTGTCATTACCACCAGTCCCTGATAACTACGGCACAGCCCACTACTGAGCAACACCTGGGCTCTCGTTTACCCTTCCCCAACTCTTCTCTAAACTCCTCCTTCTCTGAGTAAGGCACCCCTCATCACACCATCCAAACCACACTCACCTAACTGCCCCATGGGAACAGTCCCCTGCAGATGGGAAGCCTCCTCACATTGCAGCATCTGCTTGCAATATCTTATCACAAGCTCTGTTCCTTGCAGCACATTCAATAGAAGAGCTGTACCAAATGAGTTGTACGTCAAAGCCTAGATATCACTAGGCCCAGAACAAAGCTGTGCCACCTCAGGCCTTCGTGTCCTCTCCCTGAGTGCAGCCCAGTGCTGGCTCAGGGGCTGCACTGATCCCTCAGAGCTGTGCCCTGCTGCACAAGCCCAACCTCAATGTCACTGCTTTGCCACACACCACAGCCTTGGTCTCTCTGCAAGCAGAAGCAGGCTGCTTGCTGCTTCTTCTTCAGCCAAGGCAGGAAGGGTTGGACTCCCATAGAGCTCTGCAGACTCGCTGCTTGTTTCAGAATTCAACTGGCAGTGCCCTGAGTGTTTTGCAGCCACAACACTGCTGTCGTTCTGCTTTCCTTCATGCTGCCAACAGAGGCAAAGCAATAAGAGGGAAGCCTTTGTTGCTTACTGGTCTGTTATTTCTTCTTTATTTCTTTTCTACTCAGAGAACAGGAAAGATTGAACAAGATAAAGTCAAAGCAACAAAGCCCAAGTAGTTTTATAGCAACATTAGCCGGTGTTATTACACACTGGAGAAAGGTTATTGTAAAACAAAGCAATTCAGATGGAAGATTTCTGGATAAGAGCAAAGGAGCAGAATAGGGACAGTTCCCTGCTTGTGAGATTGTTCACTTCTGAGCAGAGGGCAAAATGGCAGTAGGCAATGAGCAGAGGCAGAAACTTATTCCCTATTTTGTATTAGAGAAGCCCCTTCCACCCCTTTGTGATAATCATGGCATCATGTTAAACACAGAACAGCTTAGGTTGGAGGGGATCTCACAGATCAGACTGTTCCAACCCTCTGCCATGGGCAGGGTTGCTACCCATTAGATTAGGCAGCCCAGCGCCCCATCCAACCTGGCTGTTCTTAATAAAAGGTGATTATCCATTCATCTATATGCATACCCATAAATGACTCTGCAATGTTTTAAAATACATCATTGAAGAGGAGATGAGACCAGTACACAGACTTTCAAGATTATTTTTGCTTATTATTCCTGATATTTCCAAGCATGAGAAAACAAACGCCCCAGTTACATCCAAGTAAAAAGAGCGGAAGGTCTGCAGAAGTCTCTCAGGCCACCAGCTAGATGCAAAAGAAAGTTTTCTTCTCGAAATCTTCATTAGCAACATACACAGCTACCTAATCACAATGCCCAAAGAAACAGAGAGGCATCAGGCTACTCCGGCTGCCCAGTATGAGGCAACATGAATGACATGGGGCACAAGGGCCACATCAGCAAAGGGAAAGATTTACAGTGAGGGCACAGGTATCAAGCAGGAGCAAACTGGCAGCAGGGAAAATTGATGGGAACACGGACATTACCTTGCCCCGTCCTTTCAGCTGTCCATGTCAGCCCTCCAACTCTCCCCCAGCCGGACTGGCCTGGCTAAACGGTTACTGGAACCGCAGACACTGCATGTGGGAGATGGAGAGCAGGTGGCTCTCATCAGCACTGAGTGAGAAAAATGCCCGGTGTGCGCACCAGGAGCCGTGCTGTATTGGAATACACAGCGATAGGCGGTGGTTGACGTCATCACTGTATCAGTATTACTGACAGAAGGATGTGGTGAACACAGAGGAGGCAATGAATTCAGGTCCAGGCTCCCACACATCATTTATTACTGTATTGCTCTTTTATCTTACTTTTATGTGAGAACAAGGTGGGAGAGCAGATAAAGCAAACTTCTAGGGCTTAGATCTAAAAGGTCATGCAAGTCACTTAGTGGGGTTGGTAGAATGAGTGGATGAGGCACTGGTGGCAAGTCGTTAAGTGGTTAAACCTAACTAAATAGTACACTATGGACCACATCCGACAGCTCAATACTGCTTTATTCTGCTAACACCTGTCTCCAAACAGACTCTGGGACCAAGAGGCAGCAGCAACCATCAGAGCGCAGGCAGGGAGGTGGTCTGGCTCCCGGCTCCCCCCTCCTTGGTTGGCTCCAAGACACAGACCAGGCATAACGATTCTAAAAACAATTCTGGTGACATTTAAGAGGGAGACAATCACGTATTACCATAAGGAATGAGTCAACCACGACAGGAGAACAGCTGAGAACTGAGTGACTGCGTTCTACTGGAGGGAAAAGCAATAGAAGAAACCACCTCAAAGCTCAGGAAATGGGTTAAAATATGAATGAGCCTGGCAGAAAGCGGAGGTGTTAGTCAGCAAAGCGGCAGGCTGAAAAACAACAGAGCCCCACAGCTGGAGCCTGCGAGCTCACACAGGATGCTGCACAGAGGAGGGAGTGCATTGCTTTCATTGTGGGGAATGCTGAGTGCCACCCACACAGACCCCCACAACACTGCCCTCCACACTCCCTCTTCCCTTATTATCTCTTTATAGCCACAAGGAGTGGGCTCAGCCTCTTATTCTCCCCAGTACGCATCTCAGCCTGACCCCGTTCTGCATGAAGGCTGTAGCAGATGTTGCTTTGGCTCCTACCTAAGGAAAAGGGCTTACCTTCACAGCGCTGTGACTGTGTGTCTTGCTCACATGGAGGGGAGAACTCACAGCCTTGTGTCTTCTCTTAGGAAATCACCAGATACACAGTGGTAAGCAGAAACAGGAATGACTGCGCCTGTCAACTCACCATGACCATCTGGAACAGAAACCTACAGCTCTGCTCAGATCCATCACCCTCATCTAAACCATGCAGAACGTACCCAGAGCTCTCTCCTTGGTTGCTTTGCTGTGCTGGAACCTGCTGGCAGACATTCAGCCTGCAGGAAATAGTGATTTCTCTGATGGAGCCTCCACACCACCCTCCTCAGAGTGCTCAGGCTCCTTTGGAAGCCCATACACAGGTCTCTCCCTCCAGAAGTACCTATCACACCCAGTTAGGGCCAACATCTATCAGCGCATCCCTTCTGCCTTCTCGGTGCACCAAGATCAGAGCAGTGCTGTTGGCATATGGCTTTTTGCGGCAAAAGCTTCACCTCACCCACTCTGCCACTCTGCTTGGCCACAAGTTTTTACAGCAGGCCTTCCACTTCCTGGGCTGGGTGTAGCAACTGAGTGTACCTTGCACAGCTTTTGGCACCTCAAATAGATTTGCAAACATACCAGCTGCTTTCAACCTGTTTTTGTGGAAGCACTTTCAAAGCAAAAGCTGATGGCTCACCCTTTATGCTGCCTCGGTGTGCAAGCAAGGAGCTGCAGATGGCTGCACGGCAGTGCACAGCCTCCAAAAGCACTGCTAGCTCACCCCTAAATCCATAGCACACACCGTCCTGGTGCAGCTGGCAGTGATATACCATACACTGGGGAGAAAAGATGGGGATGGAGGATGGACAGTTTATGACCAGTAATATATTATAATCTATTAACAACATTGGAAACAAACATGGCCTGTTCTGGAGTAACCAATGTTTCCAAAAAATTAAAACTACATTTCTGAACAGAAAAGCTATAGGGCTTACTGGAGCCTTCCTGCAATCATTCTCATTGCTTGAAGCTGTGGCTTGCTATGAAGCTGTAAGGTGACAGAAGGACCACACATTTTACTTGAGACTGAAAAGGCTGAAACGCGGAGTTATAGGCTCCACTGAAGCACAGGGACTAGTACAACAAAATAATTTCACATCAGTACTTCTGCATCCACCCAAACACTGGTAGATTTTTTTACACTGCTCAGCAAGAAGAGGAGTTTGAACACTGTTCTTACAAAGAGTGGAGACTGGGGGATTTTGTGCTCGATAGCAGCTTTTGCTGTGGTATGGTTGTTGATCAAACAAGGATGCTGCTTGCATCCCTTGGCTGCTGTTCTGGAGTCAAGGAAGAGTAACTGTGCACAGCCCAGTTTCCACATTGCTTATCCTGCCACTGTGCATTTGCAGAAGTTGGAACAGAATGTGCTATGAGTGGCAAATTGAAGCAATGGCAGATAACATGCAAAACAGAAACGAAAAGGACAGCAGGTGACTGCAATGGCCCTTCTCACTGGGGAACTCAGCTGGAGGCTTTAAGACAAGTTATAAGAACAGCGGGGGCTGTCTGACCAGAAGCAGGAAGAACTGCTGTTGTTTCAGAACAGCAGCATCTGTTACAAAGGCCCAGCACAGTTCAGAATAGGGCTCTAATGCTGAACTACGGATCCCAGTTCCTGCCCCTGGGGCAGAAACAAGTCACTGGACAGCTCTGTTAATTCCCTTGCGATGCTGAAGGGCAACCTCTGCTCCCTGAGCCCCTCTACCAGGCAGCTGAGGAGCAGAGCCCCACATAACCTCCAAGCCCAGAGCCTGTCAGGTACACGTACTGGTTAGTGAATGCAGCACACCTCAAACCTGTCAGATCCATTTCCCTGGCACCTCTGTGGGCTGCTCACAGTGCCAGGAGTGCTCATTTCAGGGCAAACCACAGCCAGCGCAGAGCTGGCTTTCACAGCAGCTGTCCATAGCACTAAAACAAGAACAAGGGCTGATTAAGACTCTGAGCCAGGTGTGGAAATTCCCCCCCCCCCCCCAGAAGGCAGTCCAATGCTTCCTCACCCTGGTAACATTTTTGCTGCTGTGTGGGTGGTTTACTGCAAGTGAAACCAGTAGTGGCTGAGCTGGGGAGAAGCAGCCAACCCCAATCTTCTGCTTGTGTCAAATTCCCCTACGTCTAAGAGCTGGGGAAACAGCAGCAAGTAGGAAAGTCCCAGCAATATGTTAGTCACTACCTCAGTTACCTCCGACCACACTGCTCCAAGTGCACTGCTCTTACACAGCAGGGGACAAACACAGGTAGGAGCACGGGAGCAGCTGATCCATCACTGAACCGGGCAAAGAGCTCCTTAGGAGATCTGTCACAGCCCTTGGACTGGGGGAAGTCTAATACGTCATCACCGTGCAGCTAAACGTGCCACAGCAATCAGTTCTCTGCACTGCTCGTTACAAAGCTGCAGTCAATTTTCTTTCACCTTAAAGTTTTGCTGATGAGGTAAAATAAGGGTGTACGGAAATTCTGTGCTGTAGAAAGCCATAGAAGGGACCAGACAGAAGTAGGACAGCATAAGGGAGAAACAGGGGAAAGATTTTAGCTAGATAACAACAGAGACATAAGTTTCCTCTCACCATTGCATCCTCAGCTCATCCAATAAAGAACTTTGAGAGACCAGTAAGGACAACAGCACTGCAGCTGAGAACTCCACCAGCGCATTAGCCCCATTCCTCTGCCAGTGAGGGCTGAGCTGGGGCTTTGCTCCTGACCCTGCCACCACAGCTTGGATGGGGCCTTGAAGGCTGTGTGCTGTGGCTGCAAATAATGAAAATCTGACAGCATGGGATGGCTGCCTCAGTCATAACAGGGGAAAAGAAAGATAAAATGCCAGATTATGTGATCACAATACATCACCATGTGGCAGAGCTTGTACTCAGTCTACAAAGGTGGGGAAGTGATGTGTGCATACATACATAAATGCATGCATTGCATGGACACAGCACCCCGAGAATTAGCCCAAACCACCTACTATATGTGAAAGCACCTGCACATAAATTTACAAACACTGGAAAAAAGCACCTCTGTCAGAGCACAAACTGCCAGAAGTCATGCTAAGGAGTTTCCTAAAGAAAAGGCATAGTCAGGAGAAAGCAAACCATCCTCTCAGTCTCTTTCCACTAAGGGGTTATGTTATACAATAATTACACAGCCAGAGATGAGGTTAGAAAGGAGGGTAGGGCAAGTCACAAACCCCTTATTTGCTTCTCTCACCTTCTGGCCACGTTGCTGCCAGAAAGTGACACCTAACAGCACTTGTTTTTCTTTGATAAAGTTTATAGCTCATGATGGATAAACATTTATATGTTCTTACACCCTGCTTGATCAACACAGGTTCCATAGCAGGATGATGCCACAAGCTCTTACAGAAGCTCACAACATGCCTCTGCCCTGGGTACATGTCACAGGTCTGTTTAACCCCACAACCCACACTTCTCTCACCCCCCTCTCGGGGTTATTGTGTTTTCCAGTGACCAAACTCTTGACCAATAGGAATTTGAATGCAACTGCTCAGTTCAGCTGCTTATTTCTAAGATGCTAAAAGATGCTTAGAAGGAAGGAAAAAAAAACCCACATAGCATTCACTGCAGAGGAAAAACAGTTTATCAGAATGAGTTCCTCCTGAACTGTGAATACAGCTGTTTTTCTCAGGAACCTGCTTCACCCACTCAGGATGGTGAGTCAGGCTGCCAACTCTGGGTATGCAAACAGGTAAGGATGACACGGAGGTGGAACAATTGTGAGTTAGTAATGAATGGCTGAAAGTCAGCACAAGTCTCCGTTTGCACTCCAGTCTCACAAAACAAACTGAGAAAGACTGCAAACACACTTAACTGCAAGAGGCAGCTCTCCGTCCTGATAGGAGCAATCTGCTAGCTAAAAAGGTTGGAGGATCCCAACCTTTTCCCAAACACAGATCAGCCCCCAGGAGGTGTGGCTCAGGTGCATACACATTCTGGAAGTCCTAAAAGTCAGAACTCTCACACCCTCTCAGCAGATCTTAATCTTAAACCTCAAACTTATCATTTGAAATGTAGCTATGGCCCAGCAGCCTATAGCAATAGCTCTAGATTGCAGAAGTGGAGGAAGTGGGAGCTGGAATGCTGAAATCACATTTGAGTCACACACATACTGTGCCTCCCTTAGCACAGCGGGTAGGCAGGCCGGCTGCACACAGTCCTGATGTTTAAACACCAGTCCTGGGTTCTGCTGAGGCAGGAGAACAGGGCTCCTCCTTCCCAAAGGGATGCAGTTTGATTTCACCAGAGGGCTGGAGTACTCAAGAACACAACATCTCCCAATGGAAATGAGCAGACAGGAAGGTGCAGCTATGTTGGGAAAACATAAATAAGTTTGGGGAAAAAAAAAAAGTGAAAACAAAGCTGGGGCTCAGCAGAGGAACTGCTGCAGCAAACAGCCTCCAAGCTGGCATGAGCAGAGCTCTCTTGGCTGTTCCAGCCACATGCAGGCCATTCCTACATCCCCAAGAGCACATGGATGAGAGCACAGGCAGAAGGGGAAGAAAACAACACTGACAGCACCATGCCTCCCTTCACACCCTGCAGCACTGCCACAAACAGTGAGTAATCCATTCTGGGTAGCTGCAATAACTGGGGGCTTTTGCTTAAATATTCGTTAGGATTTAGGGAAGTGAGTCATCTTAATCAGGAGGCAGATTGTGGCCTTTGTGCACGCTCTCATCCCACCATTTTAGTGACTTTGCTTAGAGTCCTGCAAAGCCTCTTCACTTTCATGCCCCGCAACCTCACAGTACAATTCATCCCCATAGTTTTAATTAAAAAAAGAATGATTACCATGTTCATCAGCACTTCATTTGGCTCCACCACACATGTTAATCGTCACAGGCAAATACAGACACTTCACTCTGAGTCTCCTTTCTGGGCTTATATACCACTTTTTACTGCTCCGAGAGTGATGTATGAACACCTCTGCTGCTGAGCCAACCTGGAATTTGAAGTGTAGCTGGACACAAATCTTACAAAATGTGTCAAATGAGTTCCTGTGTAGCAGCCACCTGTTATCTTTCCCTCTTCATGATTGGCAACAGGGTTTTCTAAATAGGTACATATGTATTTCTATGCATATAAAATAACAGTCCTTAATTATTTTGTGCTGCTGCCAACATACTGAGGTGGAATTTACAGTACCAAAATACATAATAATGCCTTAGCAAAATTCAGAATCATGAGTATGACTTCTGGAATAGCTGCCCAACCAGAGCTTAAAAGCAGCAGGCATGGTTTCCATTGTGACTGGACAAAAAGCAGCAGCGAAGGAACAATCCATGAGCTTACACAGTCTAACCACAAACCAGAAAACTTGCAGAGAAACTAATTTAGAAACATGCGATTTTATTTACAACAGTGTAAATATAAAATATCTGTTTACTTCCAAAATAATAAACTGAGCATCAATAAAATAATTTCTTTAGACCAAATGATGGTAATATTTATTTCATATCTCAATTGAGCAAATACAGAAACATACCACATTCTGGTGCCATGGACACAGGACATCCCAGCAAATAAGTATTTGAACGTGCAACGCAATCTGTGCAAATCAGCCACTTCCTCTTCAAGGTCCCTTCCAACCCAAACCATTCTATGATTCTATCTCACCTCCAGGTGCATCAGCACTGTTCAATCACCTCGCTTGCTTCCCAAGCAACATACAGAACCACAGCAACAAGCACAGGAGACGTGCTGAATAAGAATGCCAACTTGATGCATCTCCTGCTCACTTGCAGAGAACAACCACCACCAGAGAAGCCTTAACACTGGCTTTGCCTCCTTGAGAGTGCAGTAGCTCTGTGTGTTAGCTGCTAGCCCCTTCTGTACCCAGGGGTCTGCCTCATATACCAGCTGCCAGTCCAGCAGCAAGCATGAGCATTACAACCCAGCAAATCCATGTCTGAATTGTAGTAACCATCACTGTAGGCAAGATTGGAATAACAAAGCACTTTATCAGTTTGCCTTACAGTTTTTTTTTCCAAAGGTTGGTTTGGCTGTCCTGGTAAACACGGCTAGGCAACCTTCATGTAACAGCTGTCCTCCTGGGCAAGAGCTTGTAGAAATTCAACTTTTTTCTCATTCTTCCTGTTGTTTTCCATTAATAGTTCTGATGATCTTTTTCTAACTGCAGGTGCCAGTCCAGAACTCTCATTGTGAGTGGTGCGAGAATCAGAAAGATGAGGGTTATCTGCACAAACAGCAGCTGACTTGTCTGAGACCAAGAGCTCCAGAGGCTCTTCTGCAGTTTTTAGAGTTAGCCCCATGCCATCCAGCAATTCATCAGGTAAATTTGCTGCTGAGCAACTACACCTTCTGTTTGACACCTTTTTATTTTCCTCTGAGTTTCCAAACATCCTCAAATGGTTGCGTGGGGCACACTGGAAGTCAGTACTTATTCTGTCACTGCTGCCCCCTGGCACTCCTTCACCACAACAGTTCAAGTCATTATGTTTTGTTCCCCTTATAGCTCTCCCTCCATTACAGTCTTGACAGTTCAGCTCCAAGAAATGCAACAGCTGTTTGTCTCTGCTGGTGTTTTCATCTTTGTTATCACTCAACAGCTCATGAGAGCTGACAATCGAAAGGCTGTCATCACTACTGCATGCAACTTTCTCACTAGAGCCTGCATCCGGGGCAATGCCAGAATCAAAGTCCTGTACAGTCAAACACTCACGGCCATCAGGCTCATGGGTTATGCTATCTGGAGGTGTTTCTTCCAGGCTGTTGTACAAAAGATGAACTAAGGGTTCGTACAGTGACTTTGAGATAAACTCACTGCTACTGTCAAAGTGTGCACCACTACATTTAACTGCAGCATCAAAAGACTTATAACCAGATGGCTGAGGTCCAGCAGGGCAAGAAAGCACGCTGCCTTCCTTTTGAAGATTTTGATACACTGCCTGCTCATGAATTTCTTCCTCTGGTAGGAAAGCTGGAACTCCATCATTCACATGTGCCTCTGAAGATTGGGTTAAAGATGGCAACAAGCACATATTTTCAAAGTGCATATTCAAACTACTGCTAGCTAAAGACTGAGACATTAAGGCATCAAAGCTCTTGTACGCAGAGCTACAGGGCTCCACAGATGGAGACGCAAGGGTGTCCAAGCTCTTGTATGCAGAGCCACAGGACTCCACACATGGAGACATTACAGCATGAAAGCTTTTGTATGCAGAGCCACAGGGCTCCACAGATGGAGACATTACAGCATGAAAGCTCTTGTATGCAGAGCCACAGGGCTCCATAGAAGGAGATATGAGGGTGTCAAAGCCCTTGTATGCTGAGCTGCTTATTCTGTCAAAGGCTGGTTTATTTAGAGATTCCCAAATAAGCACAGATGAGTCACGCTGACTTTCAGATCTGCACGTCAAAAGGCTTTGTTGAAGCTTACAGGGACTCTCTCTTGCATCCAGAGAAGCAGAATTTGTGCTGGAGCTCCGATAGCCAGATTCAAAGGATTCTTCTGATTGTGCAGACTTCCTGCTGGTTGTACTGCAATTATACTCATCCTGAGAGGCTCCAGTAAAAGGAGAGTCTCTATGAGAACCAGCTGACTGCTGACTCCGGACAGCACTTTCTACTAGATTTTTTTGAGAAAGATTTTCTGACTCAAGTTTCTGAAAGATTTCACTTGTAATGATGTCTGGATCTTTATCATCTTGCATGCTTTTTTCATCTGCCAAGAGCTCCATGAACATGTTAGCTAGTGCATCATTGTGTTCAGCGTGCTCCCTCAGCATGCTGACACTGCTCTCACAAGGCTCAAATACGGTGATCTGGTCGCTGGTCTTTTCCTGGTTCTCAGCCTCAATGTCTGTTAAACGTTCACAGATTTCCACAGACTCTTCAACAAGAACAGTCTCAGGGGTTAAAACTGCATTAATGCCTTTTGGAAACCACACTCCAGGCTTGCAGCAACTGCAAGATTTCTCAATGTTTCTGATGTTATCTTTTTCCTTGAAGTTCTGGCTTGACAAACTTTGAGCCTGACAGTTTTTGCAACTTCTGTTTTTGGAAATAAGAAAGACAGAAATGTTTATGTAATAGAAAAATGTCATGCTGTGAAGCTGAGGTTCTCCCCTCACCCTATTTATCTTACTTACATTTGCTTTTCCACATGACTTGGCTTTGAATCATAGAAAGGGAACTTCATTTCATCAATATAGTTCAAGACTGAAAACTGATAAAACAGAAGTGTTAGGACACACAAAATATGTTTAGTATTTCCCACATTCCATATTCTATTCCTGGTGATCAGGAAAAGGTATATTTTGCAAAGCCCTTACATTACCTTGACATTTTTTACAACCAAATGGCTCTTCGCAGGGTTTGGGATTTGATCCCACCATTCTTTCTTCATTCTGTAAGGCAAGAATAAAAACTGTTTGCTTTAACTGAATTTTGGCTTGATCAGCATGCTTCCTGCTGCTGCAGTACAGATTGCTAAGAAGGAGAGAAGAGCATAGAAGAAAGTGCTTGTTCTGCACATCTCCAAAAGCTGCTTTTCATAAACATATCTGCACTAACTTTGATTCATATGACTGCTCTACACAACCACAGTCATAAGTTCTTCCAATTGCCTTTAAAGTGATGTGTGAAACAGATAGGCTCCCACTTTCATATTGCCACTAAAAATGTAAAAAGAAATGCACATATTTAACCATCATTACTGGAACTCCAGCAAAGATTGGGATTCAAAGCTAACAGACCCATAAATGCAGCCTATTTTAGTGCTGTAATAAGATCATTCTAGTGAGATTAGTAAAAAATACTCAATTACCTTTTCAGAAAATGACAGAGTGCAGCAGATTGATGTTTAAAAGATGTTTGCTCACAGAGTTTGAGTTAAAGTTACAAAGGAAAATCCCATACTACTAAATGTTCAGTTAAACAACGGCAATACTGGCATCTGTGCAAAGTGCTAGTCTCTAAAACCCATGAGCAGTATGATACCTACTTGGTAAAACAGAAATAGCAAGTTACAGCTACTCCCATGATCAGGATGCAAGATATAGGAACAGCCATGTGCAGAATGTCTTCAGATGTCACTTGATAATCTGTAAAATAGATATATTTACATACATACATATACACATACTGACAATACCAAATCCGTCACCAAAAAATGCTACTTCAGAGGATGTAAAATAAAGCCTTTGCAGATCAACAGCAGAACCAGTGGCGATGGCATGTGTCACATCTAAAGGCCAGTGCAGATCCTTCAGTTACCTACTGTCAGTGAGGTAGGAACTGGGATAGCCACGTGTACTGTGAAGCCATTTGTCCACCCTCAGAAACAAACCCATCTCAGTCCCTGGAACGGAACTGTAGTGCAGCTGTGCTCTCACCCTCTGTGCTGCTCTTAAGAAATATTATTTTTAGAGCCTCACCCCTCTAATGGAAAATTGAGAGCTACTTCCACTTCATTCTCTCTTACTCATTTATATCCACTTGCTTTTATTATTATTTTTAAGTTTAAATGTCTCTGCTTCTACCAGGCTGTGATTAGTTATAATACTTACCACAGTGAAACTCAACTCCATCACTCCAGTCACTCCAGTAGACTGGGTAGTCTGTATAGTTACACCGTATACTTGCAATGTAATCATAGCCTCTCTGCAAGGAGCTTGCAGTAATTTCAAAGCTTTTGGCCTGGTAGTTAATTGATGTCACAGTAACCTGAAAAGAAGGTAAGACAGTAAGAGTTCACTGATTTTCTTATGGGGATTAGGGCTTGTGGCACTAATTAGATGCCAACTGTGTTGTACATTGCTGTGACTTCTCATAAATGAGCAAGTAAATGACTGTACAAATTATCTGCTACATGCTGTTGTATTGTGCTGTCACAAAAGGGTCATATCTGTGACATGCCATCACACATGTTCTTCCTGGGGCAGAATAAGCCCTGCTCTAAAATGCTGCAGAGATCAGGAGGGCGCTTGAAATGCCTCAAATGCTCCACAGTGTCTCAAACTGCCTCCAGCTTCAGATGTAACAGAAGCACTGTATTTTCAGTCTCCGTCCTGCCTACTGTGAGCAGCTGATCCCTTTGGGGTGCTAGTCAGGAAAGTTTCACTCCTTTAAAGCCTTGTTTGAACCGACTTGGGACTGACACCAACAGAAAGTGCGTGCTTAGGAACACCATGGGCTTGCCCTCACTGGCCCTTACACCATTGTTCATGAAACAATTTCAAAGTCCTTCAGGACATTTAGACCTTGAAGCTCCAGAGATAGAAAATGAGGCCAGCTGTCTCTTACCTCTCCTGGGCGCTGCTTGCTCCAGTATTTTACTTCATAGATGACTGGCTGTCCAAAAAGCATGGATGAAGCAGCATAGCTCTCCTCCCAGCTCAAATTGAAATTACCATTTTCAGCTTTCTCAACAGCAAGATTTTTGGGAGGCCTGGGCTTAACTGTACATTAAAAAAAAAATACAATTAAGGAGAACGTGAAAATGTAGAAGTGTTGAAGTAAAGAAGCAGAGAAAAAAACATTCATCAGAAGCCAAAATGTCAGAGTCAATGCATTTCAGCCCTTTTCACTAAGCTCTGCAAGGAGGCCAAAACAGCACAACTGCGAGGTATTCATCAACAACCACTGAAAACCCAGGCTGGCTGAGCAAACTTCAAACTCTACTTTTGGTGCACTGAGTGCAGCTTTCAACCTGAAGAAGTGGTAACAATCCATGCCCTCACAATTACATGCTGTGCCATATGCTGGGCATACAGCTTCTGACCACCCTGCATTCAGACTGTCCTGCCTACCTGTGTCTTAGAAATTGATGCAGCCTCCTGCGTATTCTGCTGCTGAGTCTCAGTGACATCGGGTAGGAAATAAATCAGATCATCACTGTAGATGAATGTCTGCCCAAGGCACATGGATGATTTCTGAGCCTTTGAGGCGAGACAGTGTTACAAACTCTTATTAGTTTAAACAAACTAGGTGCTGACAGAGAAATAGGAACCGTATCTACGCTTTGTCCTGTGAAAGAGCAGGGTCATTAACTTTTTATCAGAGGATAACAGAGACAGGAATGAAAGAATTTCAGTAGGGAGAGCTTACTGTTCTAAGAACTGGAAGTAGCGTCTTCCTCTTCATCCTTGAATTCTACAGCAACAAGTGAAGTTCTCTAAATACACACTTAAGCCCCCAAATTGTAGATGGCTGGAAGCTGAGATGGTAAAGCTAGAGGAAAAACCATTCTGCTTGCCCCATTTCTTGTATTCTTTCCTTAAGAATCTACTCCAGAATCAGGTTTCTAAGCCAAACATGCTTCTCATTTAAGCCAGCATTACAAATGTCATGTTCTCACATCTACTAAGAAAAAAACTCTTCTGGTAGCATTAATGGGGCATTCTGGTAGCATTAATTAGAACTAAATGTTCTAGTGACAAAATAAACAGTTTCTTACCAACTTGGGCTGGTGTAACACTGGAATTCCACATATTGGTGCCATTGAACTGCAGAGCTAGGATATAGGTGAGACCAGATACAAAATAATCAGGATATATTGTGCAAGTGCACATAAAACTCTCTTCTGCGTTCTCAGGGACACACACATTTCTGAAAAACAGGCAGAAAATTATGACTGTTCACATAGCATAGCATGCTATTTCTTGAAAGTGTGGAACCAAGCTTACCAGTGCGTGGAGCCAGTCAAATCTGATACAGGCAAGTTCAGTTTGTAGAAAAATGTAGTCCAAACAAATCCAAAACAAACCCAAATCCCTCTCAACTCCCAAACCCCTTAATGCTGCACTAATGAAAAGCTAAGAAATGATCTACAAAGTTAACCCTGAAAGCAGCCTTCATCACACTCCGCTTCTGAAGGAGCAGACTGATGCCCTACTAGTCCAGGCACAGTTTTGCTGCAGTGTACAAAGCAAGATTACTCAGAAGTCTCTCTGGAGAAATCACATGGAGAGGAAGAGGAAAGCTCAGATTTGTCTTCCTCTGTCGGAGATGGCAGGAACATTGCCTCTGCTGCAGAAGGCAGCAAACAGCTGTGAACAATGAGGCACACTGTATGCTACAGCCTGGTAAATCATGTGTGGTTTCTCACAAAATGAAGGCTCAGTGCACTGATGAGAACACTCCTGTTTCTGCAAGCACTACTTGACAAATGCTACGTACCAAGAATGCAGAGAAGTTTGTAAAGGAGTCTACTGAGCAGATGTGTCACCAATGAGTATACAGATGTTATAATTAAGAAATATACAGAAAAATTAGGCTAAACAGGTTATCATGCTAAAGAAGAATGGATGGAAAGCTTACCCTTGTCCTGGGCTAGCTGAGAAGACTCCAAGAGAAGTGATCTCCAAAAGGGATCTTTCCCCACTGGCAGTCAGCTCTTAAATGGGGTCTAGCAGAGGTGCAGCCAGGCTCCACCCCTTCCAATAGCACAGGAGAATTGTCTTCACCTGTGCTCCCAGGGCTGACTCATGGCTCACCTCAGGTGGTCGATCTGAGATTCAGGCTGTGATTCAGCAGTTCCCATACACTAGAGCATAATGTTAACTGCAGGACACATCTTCCTCCTGGCAATGAGGACAGCCCTGACTACGCCTTGTCCCAGGCACCCATGACAAAGGGATGGAATCAAAGCTGGTAATGGCTATAGAATATATAAAGTTCCAATGACAACAAAGGAAAGTCTCATTAATCACTCACTCGGGAGGAAAAAATTCCTTCCTGTAGTAGAGCAGGAACTCTTGGGAGCAGTTCAGCTGTGCAGGCACCTTCCAGTGACAAATCAGCTTTTCGGCATAGTCAGTAAAGCATGCAAATTCCTGTATGTGTTCTGTAGCCATAAATGGGGAGAAGCAGCACGTAATGAGATGCATGAAAATCAGAAGAATAAATTGAACTAACCAGTAACATTTTATAAAAATTAAATTCAAAAGGCAAAACGCAGACAACAGTCTGACCAAGCTCACTGCCTACACGCCTGAACTTGTGTTTTATCTACAACTGCTTTAAGCTCCTTAAGCTCATACCTTCTGCCTCCCCTGAGCAGCTCCTCACTGCAAATCTCTCTCTTCTCTCCCTCAATTCCCCCATTAAAACTTAGAGTAGCTTTGGTTGGTTTTCAAAATCCTTTTAGTTAGGATTTTTCTTGGAATTTCTTTACTTACCCTGCCAGAAGCTTTCTGTTGGCAATTATACAAGGGCCATATTGATAAATAATTTGGTTTCTCTGCAGTAAGTAAACATTTCTGCTCACACGGCCTAGCACATTACTAACTCTCCATTCTCATCATTTACATTGCAAATTTAAGACTAGTTGTCAATAATTCACATCCTGTAAGGCCCTTCAGCTACTGCAGGGCTTACTTCAGTGGTGCCTGTTTCAGATCATTCCTCCAAAGCAAAATCTTTTCGTAAGTACCTTACTTTGGTTCTATTCCTCCCATGTTTCTCCTTTTCTGTGGTTCCTTTATATCACGTTTTCTGATACAACTCATGCACTTTGATACAGTACACTATCTGCAAATGCAAAACCTGTGATGGCCAGTTCCCCTTTGGGGTGCACCAATACAACATACAGCAGGATTTACCACTGCATCCTGTGGCACTTCAATAAAAACCCAACTCAAATAAACAATCATTTACCACTGCCAGCATGTGGTCTCTCACACTCATTTCAAACGTGCATCACTTTCGTTTGCCTTTCTACACAGCCTCCCATAAAACTTCATTAACAAGGAGTCCTGGATCACTTGAGAACTCAAATGTTAATGAAGCTCACTTACACAAATGAGGATATACAACACTGCCAAAGAACCATTCATATTGTTAATGAAAATCATGGTAGAAGTTGTCTGATACATCCACTGGTATAAGCCTACAGCTGCTGGTTGCAGCTTGTGGTTTCATTGTTGTTCAGTATTTAGAAAGTGTTTTTCACAAGATAAATATCTTGCCCTGGTAACTAATCTGTGAGAGCTATCACTCAGATCCTCTCTGTGTGGCAGCACCACATTTGCTCCCTCTTGTTCTGAATGGCCCACAGTTCTTCAAAGACAAACAAAACCAAAGGAAAACAAACAACAAAAAACACCAAACTGTGCACCAGTGAGACAAAAGCAAAAATAATTCCAACAGCAGCAAGTTGAAGACTCAGCATCTGCACTACTACAATAGTAACACTGCTCATTTCTTTCAAACAAGAACCACTATTTACTCTGCTCCTGTTTATGGTTTGTTGCCCTATATACTTTTACTATTTCTGTCTTACTTTCTCTTTCAGAAATCTTAAAGTAATACTAACATTCTAATCCCTTTAAAGATGAATTTTACCATTAACATGTGGAAACATTACATTTCACTTTCAAGAACACCTGAATTAAATGAAGCTCTTCCTGCTGCATTAAGCTGATCAGCAGCTTCATCTTGCCTTCCAGGGTCCTCGTGGATTCCCAGCACTATGGATTATTTTCTGTACTCTCTTCCTGTGACCTTTCCCCCTTTCCTCATCTCTGGTACAAAGTTCCTTTTTTTTTTTTTTTTTTTTTTTTTTTTTTTTAAAGTTTTTTTTAAAGATTCATCTCTGAGAATTTCCTTTAGCAACCACATACCGTAAAGAATTCGTTTTCAGTTCACAGACTTAGAAAAGGGAACCGAAACACTGGATTTCTTTTTTAATCCTCAACTGGAATATCATGATGAAAGAACTTAAAATATCCATTAATCAGGGAGGTGGACACCTGTGAAATTAAACCTCGATAACTTAGGGCAAATCTACCCAGATGAGACGGCATAGAAGATGTACTCTCACAAACCTTCATTCTTCTCATTAATTCAAACTGAAAGATTTCCCCCCCAGCACTAGGGGCATGTCTGAACTCATTGCATATAAGAAAATTGCTAAGAAATCTTGTTTTTTGGACAGGCTATTTTTTATCTTAACTATTTTGGTTGGCTTTTTAAAACCAGCGCACGCGCTAACACCAAAAAACCCTGTAGATTTTCGTGACACAACTTAAAAGCTACAGAAAGTAAAATGTAAGACTCATTTTCCAAAGTATCAAGGTGCACCATCAGAAAAACAGGGCTTCCTAAGTTACCTTCATCATGAACTTCCCTCTATGATGAACTTCAGAAAGTAGCCATTAACTAACAAGCAGCATTAAGGCTTCATGCAGCCACACACCTTGCCAGAGCAATAGAGGTGTAGTGAAGAACGCACACGACACCACATGCTGTCCCTGCACAGGCACAAGGCAGGGCACACCACGTCTGACAGTGTCCTCAAAGCTGTTCAAATTCAGCCAACTCAGTCTTCCAACTTTGGAGAACACAGACTGACAGATGCCCATTGGTGGCAGATCTAGACACTACTGCTTTTGTCCCCCATAGGTCTCTGCAGGTCTGCTGCTGGTGAGTGCACAAGGCAAGCAGTGGCAGCTACAAAAACAAACAAGAGATTCCTATGAGATTTCTACAGATGTTGGTGGGTCACTGCCAAGCATCCTGTTTGCAACACAGTGCTCAGAATAGATCAGACAACGGGGAAGCAGAGAACTGACTTTCCTAACCTCAGTTTCTCCTTACTGCAAATTCCTATATTTTTTTCTTGCCTACATGGAAATGGTCAAAAAAGCAAAGAGGTCTAAGACTTTACTACATGGATATTTCTAGCTCTTGAGGTTGCAGATTTTATACTATTTAACATTAATAGTGCTGCCTGCTAGCTATTCCTAGTTGTGAGAAAATACTGTTAGGAAAGCTTAAGTATAATAATTTAAGAACATCGATAGATGTACCTTCCATTGTTGCATATGAAAAGAGAAGGATCCACAGGGTATGCAGCACGGGGAATCTTGCCATCATTTTCACTCTCTGGGCTCAGAACAGTGAGCTGTGCTGAGATTCTGCAACAAGATGACAATAATATAAGCTTACATCAGTCCCAATCAAAGTAAGGGCACAGTTCTTCTCTGCTGCTTTGCTACATGTTAGGATTCGTATCCCTGCAAAGCCCAATCCCCCCAGAAATCTGCTCTGTGAGAAGTGCAGGGGAATAAAGCTAATACAAATGAGCTAGAAGTGCAGAAAGCGCAAGGAAACCCTGCTGTGGCATAACCTTTTAAAGTAATTAGCTGAGACACTACTTAATGACCTTTTGGAAGCATGCATGTGAATGCCATATACATCTAAGAACGCAGAGCCCAAGGCGTGCTACCAAAGCCACATTCCCTCAAATAACTCATCTCAAAAACTGGGAGGATTCTGAAGTGCAGCTGCTTTCTGCTTGCTGTCAGCCAGAATAAACGCAGGGAGGCAATGCCAACAAAACACCGATTTCTTCAACATAACAGTACGAGTACTTTACAGTGAATCACCGCTTTGGTACGCAAGTCAGCCCTGCGATAACCAGCTCATAACCCAACTGGCAGTGCTGATCAGAAGAGGTACTGTGCTTCTATTCCCACATGTGTAATTGATCACTCTTTAAAACAAGCTTCAGAAGCTTTCATTCTTACAGGTTCAGAGATAAGAACACTGAGTGAAAACAGAACATCAGAATGGAAACTGTTTTGAGATCTTATCGGCAGCAACTACTGCTCATCCAGTAAAACACGACCAGCTTCAAAAGTAAGTTTCCCATAAATACTCAAGGAAGCTATTACTCAAGAGCAGATCTTTTCACATTTGGGAACAGAAAACGTGGCTGAGTACAGCAATAACATTTTGGAAAAGAATACAGATGGTTTTGCAGCTGCTTGGAAGAAGAAATAAAGAGCAGACAAATGCAGCACAAGACATTGCTCTGCTCTTCCTCCCATCCTTTTCAGGAGAAGACGTTTGCCTTCCAATCCATTGTCAAGTAATAGGAAACCCTTAAAACTCTGGCAAAGAATCCTGTATCACATAAGCATACATGAATCCACAGATGGCAGCAGAAAAAGTCCTTCCCTTGTAGGAAAAACGCTCTGTGTATGTTGATAAAAATGGAACCCTCAGCTTTGATGAAACAGTAACAAAACAGACTATAAAGTCAACACAAAGGGAGAAAATTCAGAAGTGACCTTTCAACACCTGCAAGCTCTTAAGATTTTATGTCAGATAATGACATAAAAAGGTCAACCTTCATAACATATGTAACACATACAGAGAATACCAAGTACACAGCAAACCTATTGATCTCAGTATATATGAGGAAATAAGGTGTAAGAAGTTTAATTGACTTTCCTAAAAACTATAAAAGATTTGCAGTGGGGCTGGAAGCAGCTTCATCTGTTGGCTTCTGTGCTGGAATCAGCAGATCAAATCATCCCTGTCTACAGAGGGAGAAGGAAAAGAAAAAAAAGAAGGAGAAAAAGATGTGATTGAAAAGATTTCATTTAAAATCTAGAAAAGCAGTAATTTCAGCTGTAGGCCTTTAAGTAAATTAGGATCATCTTTAATCTACAGGTGTAATTTGCAAAGCTTGTGCACAAAGGGTGTGCACCCCAAATGACCATTGATGGTCATTTCGACCTAGGGCTGCTCAATTTACTTTTGCTGCTATTGGACAGAGCCACCCTTCAGTTTTAAATTTATTAAAGCAAAGCCTGTCTTATTCCTCTTGGTTTAATACGCAGGCCATCATTGCTGCCAGAATGAGATCAACAATACAAAGCAACGTTCATCACCTGGTTTTGTATAAAAATGTGAAACAAAAAGAAAATTCAGAACCAAATGATATTTTCTACATGCCAATACAAAGCAGCAGAGCCACAGAAATATAACTCCAAACATCAGCTCTTGGACATGCAATGTGACATCAAATGCAACATGTGGTGAGAAGCGCGTGCCTCAGATGTTTGACTTAAGCTGGGGGTTCTGCGTTCCAATATATTTTCTTATCATAGAACCACAGAATTGCTCAGATTGGAGAAGACCTTCAAGATCATCAAGTCCAACTGCAACCAATGGGAAAGACAAAACATTGCAACCCAACTTGCAACCCAGAGCAGGAAGCTGAATGCAGTGGGTCAAACCCCTGCTCAGAGGGAAAGCCCACAGTGGCTGGGCTTAACTCCATAGCTAAGTAACTCAGGAGCTGAGATGGATCTAGGGGAAAGGTGTAATGGAGACAATAGAAGAAAACAAAGAGCAAAACAGTGCATCTTTTATCACCTAAAATGAACACAGTGCTTGATCATAATTTGAAAAACTGCAAAATAAAGCACTAAGACAGTTTTAGGGATCTTCCAGCTCAGAGCAGCAGAAGCTGTGGAGAGTGCTGAGTATGGACACCTGACTGGAACGCCGAGGAGAGTCACAGAGTTGTGGGGTTGGAAGGGACCTCTGGAGACCATCAAGCCCAACCCCAGCTAAAGCAGTTCCTACAGCAGGTCACACACAGACATCCAGGTGGGTCTTGAACATCTCCAGATCAGAATCCACCACCTCTCTGGGCAACGTGCTCCAGCGCTCCGTCACTCTGACAGATGAGAAGTTCTTCCTTGTGTTAGTATGCAAATTCTTGTGTTCCAGTTTGTGCCCAATGCCCTGTGTTCTATCGCTGCACACCACTGAAAGGAGACCACTCCCACTGACTTGATTCCTGGACTTCAGGTGTTCATAAACACTGATGAGATCCCTCGTCAGCCTTTTCTTCCCCAAGCTGAACAGCCCCAGGTCTCCCAGCCCTCCCTCAGTACTGGAGATACTCCAGGCCCTCATCAACCCCCTGGTCCTCTGCCAGCTTGTCTGCAGGAGATCCCTGCCTTTCTTCAAGTGGGAAGCCCAGAACAACTTGGAGCAGAATGCAGTGCTACCCTATAACTTACAGTACAGTAAATCCGATTTTAAGCTCTAGGAAAGGAACTGAGAGAGGCTGTGAAGTTTCTGTCTTTTGGAGATCTCCAAAAGGGACATAGGGCTGGGCACTCTGCTCTGGGCAGCCCTGATGAAGTGGGGTATACCAGATGAACCCAGAGGTCCTGGCCAACCTCAACCTTCATTCTGTGAGTGAAACCCACCTTTTCCAGCCAGCTTCCTGAGCAGCAGCATTGAAAACATCACTTGGCCACTGCGTGGGGGGAGATAACCAACCCGTGCCCCTCCTTGACAAACAGGGAATCCACGCAGGCTGTCGGTGGGAGCTCAGCTCTCGCACGTATTTAGTTCCGTGCTGTCCTTTACACACGCGTCACTCAAACTCGCCCACGAAACCGAGCATGGCGGAAACTCATCACGGAACACAGCCAGGGAAACTCCAGCAGGAAAGGAACTGGGGCTCAGCTCCTGGAGCTGCTCACGCTGGTCCATCAATTCTGCTAGCCGGTTTTATGACTATCATAAATTGGCCCTAAGCTCTCTGAATACGCACGCACCAGGAATAGCTGTTAAAGAACGAAATCTGCGTTTCAGGAAAAGCTCACTCATCGTTTCCGAGCAGTTTCACGGCGGCAAATTCCCCGAACGCGACACACGTGTCCGGAGAACGCCGCTCAGTGAGCGCTCTGCCGGAACGCCCCGCGGGACAGAACTCCGCGAGCGATTAAGGAACGCCAACAGTGACGCACGACGCGGACCCACAGGGCTCCGAGCGGCTCAAACTCCGCCGCCACGGGCAGAGCCGAGAGCAGAAACGCAGAACCGCCGCCCCGGGACGGGTACCGACGGGTACCGGCACGCACCGAACGCCCGCACGGACTCACCACCCGCCGCAGCGAGGGGACGGGACGGGACGGGACCCGACCCGCCGCCCTACCCGCTCCGCTCGGATCCGCATCCACCTCCCGCGAAGCCACTCCTCCCTCCGTGCTCCGTGCTCCGCCTCCGCAACTCCCGCACCGGGCGCCGAGCGGCAGCCCCGCACGAACAGCGGGCAGGCGGAGCCGGGCCAAGTTTCACGGGAGGACACCGCGGCGCCGGACCCGAAGCGAACCTCGACACCCCGCCCTTCTTCCGCTGCCGGGTGTGGCCGGACCCCTCCTCTCCGTTCCGCCGGGCTCGCCCACTGCCCCCGCCCCCGCCCAAGCCCCCGCCCCTCGCGCCCGGCACAGCAGCGTCTGCCGCGGCCGCAAGGGGGCGCCATCACAGAGCTCGGCTGCAGGGCGCTGCCGAGCCGAGCCGAGCCGAGCCAATCGATGGCAGGAGGCCGCGGCGATCGCTGAGCTGATCGCTGGAGCCCGTGCGCTCTTTCAAAAGAGAACGGCCGGAGCTTCCGGCGGGCCTTCACGTCCGCCCTGGAGCCGCATGGAGCGCGGAGCAGCAGCGCGCAGTGCTGTAAGCGCTGGAAGTGAGGGGTGCGGGGGGCAGCGGGCGGCGGCTCTGACCTCGCTTGGCCTCAGAGCCCCGTGCGGGCGGGGCTTCCCGGTTCGGTCCGTTCGTGGTCCCGCGGTGCGGGGATTTCTGCTGCTTTGTTCGTCTCCTTGGTCAGAGAATGCCTTGAGACGGCGTTACTTCGGTCTGATGTTTTTCCCAGCAGACACTGGGGAACTCTCAGCTACAAAACAGTTTTTCAGTGTAGTCGTCACCATTAGCAGTGCGTTTTTTGGCAGCGATGAACGAGAGCTGCGTGCTGTGCCTGTAAATCCACACCGTCCCCACTGTTGCCATCGCCTCTGCTGAAACACCCCAGCAGTGCCTCTGTGCCACAGCCTCTGTTTGGTCTCCATCGATGGTCACCAAGTGGCCATGAATGGCGGTGGGCACCGTTTTTTTCTGCACGGAGAAATTCAGCTCCACTTGTTTTGCTTCATCCACCCTTCCACGTCAGATGCCGTTGTGTCAGAGTGCCCCTCTGCTGCTGTCTGTCACACGGCAACAGCATGTCATGGGATGTTGGTGGGAAGGTCAACCTCTGCTGCCATCCTGAGCCACCTCTGCAGTTGTGGGCTGACATGATAAAATAGGAGGCATGACTTTTGGAGCAGCCCTCATACGAAGGATTTTCTGTCCTAAGTGAGATACGCTGTAATTAGACAATGTCTTTGGATATGTGGCAGGAGGCAGCTGATGCAGAGCTATGCAAAGTGTTCTACAGATTAAAAGTGGTAAGGAAAATTAGTTGGACTTCTTTTGCATCCTTCCCTTAGAGCACTGCTCACCATCTGTGTTTGGAGAACAAGCGGGGAGATCTGCTTTTTAGCCCTAGTACTTGGGGAGTTTAATTGAAATACATGTGCTCATAATGTGCACATTATCGGATAATCTGTTAATCTGCATGTGCATTAATTGCAGTTGATGTGTTCTGCAGCACTTGAAGCCTGGAGGAACATCGCCATGGCAGCTCAGATGTCTGATGCTCATCGACGGTTCTTGCAGATCCTGATGTCACATGGGATCATGGAGGGAGCAGAGGCCAGGAAATTACACAGGCGCTGCTGTGAAATCAGTAAAGGTGGGTCTTTCTTCTGGAAAGAAATGTGGGGAGATGGGGGAACTCTTCTTTTTTTCATCGTGCAACTTGTAAATCCTTGCGTTTCTGAAAAGTGTATGCTGGCTAAAAAAAGCTTCAAAACAATCCAAAAAACTTCAGTGGTGTGAGTTTTCTCTTTTTCCTAAGAGTTAACAAACAGAGCAAAACAAAACCTAACGACAACACTTTTTTTCTCTGGTTATGTATTTACAAGAAATTGACAGTGATACTCAGTTAATGGAGAGCACAGTACTCTGTGCAAAATAAGCAAGCTTAGTAGCTGGGTTTCAATAAAGCACATTTGAATAAATGGTTTCTGATCCAGTCAGTTGGTACAGCTTCCTGAACAAGAACTGTTTTGTAGGTGAAAGCTGTGCATTCTTGCAAATATTGAAAGGCATTCTGAGTCTGGGATTGTAAATAGATTTTCAACAGATCATTTTTGATCTACTGGAACAGCCATTCATCTCAAAATGTTACAAAAGAGTATTGGTCTGTTATCTTTTGCCTTACCCTTTTCTAGAGCTGTCATTAATTCTCACTGATCTTGATTAATGCAGTGTTTCTTGCTGGGAGGTGCCAGGCAAGACAATTTGTCACAATTTTATGTATTTCAATATTAATCTATTATTGCTGTTTAATTGTCCATTTATGGAGTCTTATTATAAATAAGACTAAAGAGCTTGCTGGGCAGGAATGTCCTGAGTGATGTTTTTGCATTGTAACATACCATACAGCACAGCGGGGTTTTGTGTTTGGGGCCTTCAGTCTGATGCTGTTACACTGGCAATTGACTTTTATAGTTGCAAACAGTATAACTGGTAGCAGTTTTGAGATGTCAGTCTTTCTGAAGTTATGAGCTGTTATTGAATGCTCAAAGTCAACAGGAATTTTGGCACTGTCATTTTTGTTTTGGATGGAAACTTTGGAGAATGTGTGCTATTGCTGTGCAAGCATAAGCCACAGCACATGCTTCTGCACAGTGCATCTGAATTATGTGTTTGATAAAACAACTCATACTGTTTCATTTGCTTATGGAGTAGGACACAAGATATTAACAGTGTAACTACAAAGCTACAGTGTTATCAAAGAAACAAGGAATTTGTTGTTGGTAAGTTAAAGAAATTAATTGTATTGTGTAATTGCACTTAATGGCCTGTTTGAATTCTGCCTCAGAAATTGCTAGCAATTTCACCTAGTTTAAGCAGATTAAACATAAAAAGGTGTTGTTTTTTTTCCTTCCCTCAGTGTTTTTTTTCTTATTTTCAGTCTACTGTGCACAAGATAAACTGGATGATTTCGTCAGTACCATCAACAACCAGCTACAGCCTTTGTTCATGCAGATCCGGAAAGGAATGTCTGAAGTTGATGGGAGAACGCATTATGCCTTGGTAAGTACGAGGTGCTGCCATCTCGTGGTTGCAGCTTCTCGTAACGAGTGCACGCATGGGCACACCGCAGAGATTCTGCCACGTGTCTGATGTAACAGCAGCCATTCAGTCATGTGTTGATAAAAGCGCAATAAAAGGTGAGTAAACCGGGCAAAGAACTGGAGCTACGTGTTATCTTTGGGCGTTAGTAAAGCTGATTTATCTAGGATCCTTCCTTACAGTGTAATGCAACTGCTACATGACAGCATGCCAGCATGAGCTGTGCCCTCAGCATGTCTGGACTTTTTGTGGGGCTCTTCCACTGCCGTGCTGACAATTGCTGTGGAAACTACTTGTAGAGCAGGGAACTGGGAAGATAAACTGCCAAAAGTGTGGGAAGGGAACATGGCAGCAAAGCCCATAACAGCACCTGATTTATTTAGCAGGAACAGCCTCTGTCATGGCGCTTAAAGAAATGACATTTCTTTTAATTTTAAGATGATGTATTCCTAACCCCGGAGAATCTTTTTTTTCTTTGGTAGGTGAACATGGCAGAAACTGAAATTACTAAGATGGCATCTGACTATGCAGAAAATGAACTAGAATTGTTCAGAAAAACAGTGAGTATGGCTGATATTGGTTAGTAAATAACGTCGTTTGTGAAGGTACTCCCTTAAAATGAATGGAATTCTGAGATGTGTTTCAAGAATTAGTTGCCATCTTGCATAACTTCACTGAATTTTATCCTAAATGAAATGGGGCGGGGAGGGAAATGGGAATATAACAAGTAATGGTTCTCCTCTTGAAGGGAATTAGCTTTTTTAAATTTTGCATTCTAATTTTTTTTTTTTTAATAAACGAGAAAGAGAGGTTATTTACTGTGCTGGGACAGCTGCTGAAGTGTCATCCAAACTGATACTATTCAGAATCCACTCTGCCAGTATTGATGTAGCACCTATACAGCTATGTTTGTGCTGCAGAGATGGTGTTGTCATGGCACACATTACTACTAGCACATCAGCTCTGCTTTCTGCTCTGTGATGATGTGCAGCAGGAACGTTCCCAAGGAGAGAATCTCTGAAAATTGGCAATGTATGCTTATGTTCAGATGCTGAAAAAGCTGTACATTACTATAAGGTGCATCTATCTAATTGCACAGTCTTTGTAGTAACTGAAAGTATTTCTTTCTATAGATGGACCTAATCATTTTATCAGAAAATGGCTTTGCCTCTTCTACGGATATTTTAAACTGCGCTGACCAACTGAAGACAAAGAAAATGAAGAAAAAGGAAGCAGAACAAGTGCTGAAAATTTTTGTGGATGATAAGTGGCTCTCTGAGGTAACTGCTTTATCTTTGCAAGTGTCTGTGCTTTAACAGGTCCAGATGTTGTTTTCTTATGGATGTGGTGGCAGAAGCCGGAGATGTTCATAAATGGGTGAGGGTAGAAATGGTTCTGTGGGGGCTATGGTTATTGTTCCAGTCAGTGATTCTTACAGAAGAGCTGGTCCATTTACAAGCAAAAAGTCCTTGGGTAGATGCATGCATGACAACGTGGTTTCTGTTTCTTCTATCTAAGCTAATGTGTGCATCTCTATTACAACACAAAAGGCATTCTTTGTACAAAACAGCATGGCACATTTAAAGCTTGCAGCAAAAGCTGGGGAAGGCTCTTCAAGGGTGATCTGTGCCCTCAGTTACATTTCAAATTGCCTCAAA